AAGATTAATTTTTATCCTATTAGCAATAGTACCTGATGCAATTTTGTATACAGTATTGAGGAGTGTTATTGGCCGCCAGTTTTTGAGAAAATGTCTTGGCTTATCCCCCTTTGGTAAAAGTGTTATTATACCATGTCTCTGTGTGATAGACAGTAGGTTATTCTCATATGCATAGTTAATTGATTCGACAACAAAATGTCCAAGGTATTTCCAAAAAACTTTAAAAAATTCTGTTGAAAAACCATCAGAACCTGGTGATTTGTCTGATCTCATTTTACTTAGAGTGCTAGAGGCCTCTTGTAAAGTAATAACACCTTCTAATTCTTCAGCTTCTGCATTAGATAACTTTGGGGTATCCTCAATTTTTAGATCAGACTCAAACTCTTTCAAATTTTGACTTAAAACAGATTCAGAATATAATTTCTCATAAAATTTCTTTGTTTCTTCTAAAAGAGCAGGGGCCACTTAGGGCCTTTTTTGGCCCTGTAAATTTCTGAAAAATTAAAACTGCATAGTTCTAGTCGACAAGGTAATAAATATCACTTGAACACTTGGTGACTGAATTTCTACTAAAAATGACGTAATTTTCTTGCTTAGTATTATGACGTCATGAATTGCGTCATTATTCACACATCCCGAATATTTCTTTAAAAATGGCCAAAATATGATGCTATTTTTCAATATTTCGTATACAGTACAACCTCAGATCCAAAATGTGCAAATGTATTATGAAAGAACTGCTTATTAAGATTATAAAACATACTTTAATTTTTTGATCGAGGGGTGTGCTCATATTTTAATTCTTTGATGAAGACTCTCAATTTCACCTGTTTTCTGCAAAATTCAAGAACATTGCAATTTCACACAACCTGTTTTCCAGTACCTGGACTCTTTAGAGGAAATTTTTATATACAAACTGAAAGCGCCAAGTCTCTACTTTATATTGATGTTGAGAAAGGGACATAAGGTGTTAGTGAATAAATTGGTTTATCTACAGGGCCATTTTATGCATAAAGTGAACCTAGCTCTTTGTGCTTGATCATGGATTATCTCTCCTGTGTCTAATTCTAGCATAGGTATTATTTTACTAGTATAGTTCTTAGATTCTAGAGAACAGAAATATCTTATAGGTTTTTCTCCTTCGTCTACCCATCGTGCCCTACTTCTTACACATATACCTCAGTTGTAATTTATGTCTTCTTAAGCTTTCAAATTGTTGTTTTTTGTTTTCTAAATCTAGAACATTTTCATCTGTAAGATTTTCCTCCAGGTATTTTATTTCTTCTCTCAATTTTTTTTTCTGTATTATCATTTTTCTTTTTTAAGTATGAAGAGTATGAAATACTTTTGCCCCTGATTTCCATAAAGAGAGTTTCAAGAAACAAATGATCATTTATAGTAAAACATATATCTTTATCATGAAGAGAATCTATATATTTTCTTTCATAAACTGGTACAGCAATCTGCATTTTAACATTATTGATAACCTCTTTAATGCAATCTAAGTACTCTTTGTCCCTTAATAGAGAGTTACACTTCCAAAAACCTCGTCCTTTTTTAAAGTCATAAAATTTTAACACCAAAGAAATCATAGAGTGATCTGATCTATAGCTAGTTTCAATGTCACATTTATTTACGCAGGGCAGGAGTGTTTCTGACTTGACAAAAAAATCAAGTCGACTCTGTTTGAAAGGTTTTTTCTTACGCCGAGAATACCTTCGATCTTTTTCATGAAGTTGTCTAAAAGGGTCTATATATATATCCATTGCCCTCCAGGATCTGTAACAATTTAGTTCTAGCCTTTGGATTGTTTACATGTTTGTAATTTAAATAGTCTAATTCTGGATTCAACACTAAGTTAAAATCTCCGCACCATATAACATTACTACAATTCATGTCCTCTATATATGTTTCAATGTTTTCAAAAAAATCAGGAGAATCATTATTTGGACCATACACCGTACATATTACTAGTACATGACCCTGAATACAAGCTTTTATAATATGAAAATTTCCATCTTTATCACCTTTCTCTGATATGACCTTGATATCAAAGTTGTTATTTACAAGAAATGCAACACCTCTGGAATTACTCGTAAAAGAACTAAAAAAAACATTCATAATCCCGAAAGTTCCTCACTTCGTTCTCAATTTCAGATGAGAAGTGAGTGTCTTGTAAACAGTGTAAGTTATATTTTAAATAATGGAAAACATCTCTACGCTTTACAACATCACCCAGACCTTGACAACTAACTGATAATATTCCATCAAAACAGAGTACCGGCATAGAGTAATGACACCAACTGGAATTCATTCTGTGTAAATGTTTGGTTTTATGATTCTTATTCTGAAAACATGCCATAAGGAAAAAGAGAGGAAAAGAGTGTAAGAGAAAGAAAACATGAAAAGAAAAATAAAACAAATTCGCGTCACAGTAATGTCTGTAGAAGACTTCACAGGCAATTTTCATACAACTGACCACATGGAATGTCGTATATCTCAATTGGGAGTTCAAAAACAATGCTTTTCTAGGAAAAAACCTGGTTTCCAGAAACTCCTCTTACATTCTATGCAGTAGCCAAATCACCCTTTAGACTATTATTGGTGGTGTTCTGTATTTGTGCAATAAGATTTCGGAATTTTCGTTTCATACCGGAGGCCAATTTGTGGCAGAGAATTTTTTTTTTTACACAAAAGTCCTCTTTCCAAAACACCTTTTTAAATAAAAATGATACTTCATTAAATTCTCCAATATCAGACTAATAACGATTTCATTACAGTAAAACTCGTTTAGTACGAACACGGATAAGCGAATTTACGGATAAAGCGAGATTAATTGCAATCCCCTGCGAAATTCTTAACAATTCCTTGTAAAATTGTATGGATATAACGAACTCAGATATAGCGAATTTACTGTTATAGCGAACTGATTTTGTGTCCCCTAGAAGTTAAAATTAACGAAATTTACATCTTTTATAGTGAATTTTCAAAGATTTAATTTTTTGAAATATTGAACTGACATTAATTTTGTAAGTATTTATATTTGAAACTCAAATCATCTGAAAACTTTTGAAGTTCAAGGTAAATTTTGTATTTTATACTTCCCTAAATACATTTGGTAGTCAAACTTGGATGAAAAAAAATTTTATTGCGAATTCGCGATGTATACTTTAAGAATTCGTTGCACGGATATAACGAATTACGGATATAGCGAAGTAAATTTTCAGGTCCCTAGAAATTCGTTGTAACCGAGTTTTAATGTATATGAAATACTACAACAGAAGAGGCCCATAGGCCACATGCTTCCTTTAGCATTGTTTACTTAATATGATACATGTATATTTATGTAAGTTATATAGAAAGCACAAAGAAATTCACTTTTATAAGGATACCCACTTCCGCCCCAGCCCAGGGTTGAAATCTCGACCTTCGGAATCTGTCTCCTAGCAGTGCAGGAACAGCGCGCTAGACCGCTCGGCTATCTAGGCAAGTCAAAAAACTTGCTTTCGATGCCGATGGAATTCTCGCGGCGCTGTCCTACACTACACGGTCATTGAGAATGGAAGTGAGATACAGTTATTACACGAAGGTAACGATCCTCTAATAGAACTAATGTCCATATAACTGTATCTCACTTCCATTCTCAATGAACGTGTAGTGTGCTTAGTTTAGTGTGCTAAATTCTCGAATGTAGTAACAATGTTAATATACGTGTTACACTGTACGTGATTTATTTTTATTTTATTTATTTTTCGTTTATATTGTGTATTTATATTTGTATACTGATTTTTTTAATACTTATTATATCTGTGTATACTAGTACATGTAAATGTTTTCATGCAGGACAACATTGAAAACTAAAACTGTACAGTGATTATGTAATCCTGGATTAATAAGGCTATAGCTATTATTTTTTGATTCCAGAATCGTTTTATCCATTAAAAAACCAAGTAAAATTGAAAAATTGAATAAAAAACGCATATCTTCACAACATCTGAAATATATGCGTTCAGTATTATATAAGGTCTTATCTAAAAACATTTTTTTTTCACAGTCTACTAAATGTTTGAAATCATTGCATAAATTGGAATTGAGTAGAAAAAGGTTTGAATTGTTTGACATTTCAAATATTCGAAACAGCCTGTCTTACTGAAGAGCGGTTTTTTTTCAAGAACCCAACATTTAATCAATGTTTTAACTACAGCTTAAGACTATAATATTATTATATATATGGAGTTATATATATGGAGAGTTGTAGTAACTATTGTACAAGTCACTCCCCAGCATATAATACTGTTGATAATGTGCAGATACCAGCAGATGATGAAAAAGACAAATCGGGAGCAACGCTCCCTCATCGGGTCTCCGAAAATAGCAAACAATATTATATGGGGTAACTACGATCTATCCAACCTCTTGAAAAGCGAAACAAATTACATAAATGAGAGTGCTTCTTCTAAGAACTCCAACAATATTTACATTATTAACCATGTAAACATTATCCGATTTGTTCTAGATTTTTTAAATTTCAAAAAGTTCTTCCATAACGCCAAATATATTTCATGTTATTCGTATATATTAGACTTATTGGGGGAAAAACATTAATTCCATTTCGTCACTGTTGCCTTTCTATGTCTCCTAAGCCAAGTCAAAATAAAAGAACTGATGGTCGTAGAAACATGCCTGATACAATGCAATATCATGTACATGTAATTGCGCCTTTGGGATAAAAACTGTGATAAGAAAAATATTTAAAACAACTGTTACACTCCCCATACACCTCCACCATCTCTTCACACCATCCAAAATACATGCGTATAATCAAATTATTAAGGCCCTATTCTGCGATTGTTACTATAAAAATTGAATATACTCGATACATAGTACTGCAAGATAAGGCCTACGTTAGGTTTAAGGTCAGCGCAGACCCAATCCTACGAAGCGATGCGCCATCTGACGGTGCCGACTATAAAAGTTCCATACCCAAGGACACCTCAACTTTTCGTTTCGACTTGCCTTAAGGATGTACCGGTCTTTCGGTGTTCTTCTGGCATTTTTCGTAGTGCTGCATGCAGCCAAAGGTAAATATCTACATACCATTCCTTTTTTTTTTTTTACCTTGAGTGACCTTAAATTAAAACATTTTATTTCATGATAATAAACATTTTTTATCAGCAAAGGAAAGTTTAATTTATCAGACATTAAAATTTTTAATATTTTGAATTTACTTTATCCAATTTTTTTTTTTTATTTACCTGAATTTAATCTTGAACTTATATTTTTTAATAGCTTGAATAAATTTTAAAAATGTTCTTGAATATTAATTAATTTTCAGAATTCCCCATTCTTACAATCGTACAAAATTAAGAATCATATTAACTGTAGTACAATATTTTTCATTTCTTCGCATGATATTGTCTCAGTTTTCAGTTAGGTTCTATTGATATGGATTGTGGTCAGTAAATCCATGCTTTTATTATATAACGTCTGGACATTTCTCAGACTACATATACTTATCTTTGACCTTACCCTGATGTCCATATCATGATTATTTTGTCAACCATACGTCAACAATACAAACAACAGCTTTCGATTTTTGCTTGTTTCGAATCATTTAAGTCTTCTTTAAATATGAATTAAAGATTTTTTTGTTACATAAAATCTCTCGATTTACCTATTTGACTTCTAATTTATGATTTTGAACACACACACTCACAAAATTAATGAAGCCATTCTGAAGGGGGGAAAATGAAAGAAGCTGATAAATTTTTGCCGAGTATATACTGTTTAAATATGATCTGTGCAAAACTCTATAATATGGTGAAAATTACAGAAGTAAAAAAAGATATGATTGGTAAAGGGTAAATCATGTAACTAAAAAGCATTTTTCAGAAGTCATATATGGAAGCAAACAAATTCGTGAACATGAAGATAACCAACAAGTATTCATTAGGACGTTAAGCAAGTTTCACCATTTTCGTCGAAAAGGTGTCACGTGTAGATATTTTAAAATCTATTTTTTGTTTTTTACTTTAATCATATCAACAAAAAATGCAAAATTACAGATTATTTCACGTGAAATAAAGAAGCAGTGTTTTGGCATACAAAGAATAAACCTTAAATAAATCTATACATCTTAATTATTTACATGTACTTCTAGTAAACAAACATTTATGCATTTGATTTAGAATTATACAATATTATCAAAGCACATGCTAAACTCACACTGTGACTTTGATAATGAAATGACCAATGACACTCATGCATAATAGATAAAAAAAAAATCATGCGATCAGGAAAGCAGGATTGGCTTAGTTCATTAAGTTTATGGGCAAAAATCCTAAGTTGTCTCCATTTCTGTTGAATTTTGTTTAATTATATGTACCACAAAAAATCTATTAAGAATTGTTTTATTTTCTTTTTCAGTACGGAAGCAACTAGCTTCCCAACGTAAGTAATCTAATTTTTCATAATAAGGAATTAATAAGTGATTAATTGTACAGTAGTTCAGAATATAAAATCACTTTCAAGTCTTAAAAATGTTTATAAAAATTTTCAGTTTTTTGCGTTTTTTAAACAAATAATTGGCAACCAAAATCTTAGCTTTGTAGGTACAAGGGGGTTAACAGAACGTTCAAGCTATGGCAATTCAATCCACTGTACAGTTAATGTTTTTTAAAGTTATATAAGCTTCGGTGCCTCATTGCTAAAGTAGCAACATAAACGACACAAAAAATGGCGTTTAACTATCCGTGAAGGATGCTTCCTAATGCTTCTTATACGTATGCTTACAGCACCCAGTATTTCTTAAGGAGCATTGAATCAATCAAGCTTTTTATCATGTCACATCACTTTAGGTTTTAAACGTTGACTTGTTGTTCTGTGAAATTGAGCTTACAAATGTCTATAACTCCCTTGAAATGTCTACCGCATAAATGCTTCCTTTGAATTCTGCAAGTAAAATAGTTCTTTCCAAAACAAGCTGCAGTGGACTGCTTAAAGCGTCAAAAACATGGGGAAAATTTTGCTTCTTTTTCTACGGCTCAATGGCTTCAAATGCTTTGCTGGGCAAGGATAACGTTACTGATGTCAATGAAGAGGCTAAAATAAATCATCGCATATTGCAGAATGTATCCCCGAGGACGTCACTTTTCTGGTAGATTCTTCATCATATGTAGGAGCTGATTACTTCAGAATCCAATTAGATTTTATCAAATCAACCATAAATTACTACTACATAGCACCTCAGTGTACACGCGTAAGCATAGTCACCTTCAGTGATGGCGCCTACAACTCGTTCTACCTCAACCAGTATTCGAACAAGGCAGCGTTATTCAATGCAATTGACAATATCCAGTACAGACCGGCTTCGGCTAGATACACTACCGAAGGTCTCAAGTACATGATGGCAAATAGTTTCTCTTCTTTACATGGTGGGCGAAACAACGTGCCGCATATTGGAGTACTCGTGTCCAATGGATTACCAGCCAACACACAAACATTTTTGCAAACTGCCACACAGGCAAAACAGAGTGGAATCAAGTTGTACACAGTAGGAGTTGGCACTGGTGGACACTTGCAACAATTCGCAACAGCAGCAAGTCCCCCCTACAGTCGTTACTCTTTAGTGGCTGATAGCTACTCGTCTATTAATGATCTTTCTTACCCACTTGCGTACAGAACAATGAGTGGTATGTGACTACCACTTAAAATAGTTACTGAGTTACTTATGTTTTGTGCATTTATTTAAACATTTATCATAATTACATTAAAAAAACTTAATAATATGTATTCTAAAAATTTTAGAGGCTCCAGCTGTGTCATCTCAGAAACAAACATGTCTACAACGTGCTGATCTAGTTTTCCTTGTCGATGGTAGTGGAAGTATTGGACCAAACAATTTCGACAAACTTAAAAGCTTCCTAAAAGGTATCACAAGTCAACTTGATATTGGTGCCGACAAAGTCCATGTTGGTGTCGAGCAGTTCAGCAATTATCCGTCAATTGAGTTTCCGCTCAATATGCACACAACAAGTGCTGGTCTCAATACTGCAATCGACAACATCAACTACATGAGCGGTGGAACCAACACAGGAAGCGCCATCGATTACATGTCTCAGCAGATGTTCTCCCAGACAAGCGGAGCGCGTTCAAACGTTCCTAGAATCGCTGTTGTCATTACTGATGGCAAATCCTCCAGCTCCGCGGCTACTGCCACTGCTGCCGACCAAGCCCGACTCAATCACATCTCTATGCTTGCTGTTGGTGTCGGCAATGGTGTTGACATCAGCGAACTTCATAGCATTGCCGATGATCCCGACAGTGCCAACACATTTACAGTTAGCAGCTATGATCAACTAAACTCCATTGCGACCCAAATCATTCAGAAGGCTTGTCAAGGTTACATTTCTTATTTTTTTTTCAAACTACTTTTGCTAGAAAATTGAGTTATTTTCTAAACAGAATCAAATGTTTAGAAGATCTGGACATTAAACTTGAGTCCATTCTCAATTGCAGTGAGAACAACGGCTCCTCCAGCCACCAACACAAACGCTGGTACGTTCCATCTATTTGTTTCTTCACCTCTGTTTATAAATAATGTGCTATTTTCCTACAGGTTGTTATAAATACGTAATTTGTTTCATAAAGGGGCCACTCTTCCACCTGATCCTTGCCAGGACTCCCTTGCTGACTGTAAACGTTACGGACAAAGTGTCTGCATAAACTACGCTCCTTGGGCTCACGACAACTGCCAGAGATACTGTGGATTCTGTACACGTGCGTTTTTATTGCAATTATTTTTTTGAAATATTACATTTTCTATTGTGTTTGGTTTATTTTTTGTGATGCTCCGTAGACTTGTTATACCCGCAGTTTCTAAAAAAGGTTGGGCACATTGCTGTTATCCTGGTCCGTCCGTCTGTCACACTTTCTTCTTTCTCAATCTCCTCCTTTATTTTAAGCAGTAACTAATTCATTTTTGTAATATTTGATAGGACGTGCATGTCCTGTAATTGTACAATAAGATTTCAGAGTTCCCTTTCCATCTTGGGGATTAAATGAAGTTAAAAAGTTTTTTTTTGTTTTTTTTTTTTTTTTTTTTTTTTTTTTTACAAAAACCTGGTTCCGAAAACTCTTCTTCCAATTAATGCAATAGCCTAATCAACGTTGGGAAAATGATTGATGGTGTCCTGTAGATGTGCATTAAGGTTTCTGAATTTACATTTTCATTCTGGGGGCCAAATGGGGGTCGAAAACGATGTTTTTCCAGCAAAATTCTGGTTCCCAGAATTCTTCTTACATTTTAATCTTCTGTGAGCTGATTAATAGTGTCTAGTAGATTTGCAATAAGGTTTCAGAATCTCATTTTCATTTCAAAGACCGATTGGGGTCGAAAAACGACATACAAAATCGTGGTGCTCGATGCATTGTGTCGTGTGCAGGAAGAATATATTTGGCATAGGGGTGGGGATCTCATCCACTTTAAACATTTGAAGAATTATAAGATGATGGGGGTTGGGATGACCCCTGGGCACTTGCCCAACAGAATACTTCAGGTATATTGTCATGTGCAGCAATAATATATATTATATGGTTTAAGGGTGGGGATCTCAAACTATTTAAAAGATATTTGACCATGCAATCATAAAAGGGATCATGAAGGGGACTGGGATTGGGACGAGCCCTGGGCACTTGCTTAATAGAATACTCCATGGCTTTTGACAACTGCAGCAAGTATATGCATGTATATGGTTCAGGGGTGAGGATCTCAACCATATTAAAGATATTTGAACAATCATAAAATGAGGATGATGGAGATGACCCCAGGGCACTTGAACAACAGAATACTAAATGCATCTTGACATTTGGAGCAGGAATATCTATGATTTTAGAGTGGAGATCTCAATCTTTTTTAAAGATATTTGAACAATTATTAAATGAGGGGGCAAGGGATGACCCAAGGGCGCTTGCCCAACAAAATACGTCATGTATCTTGTCATGTGCAGCAAGAATATATATGGTATGACCTACGGGGTCATGGCTGATGCCCCATTTAACATGGTAAATTAACTAGTACCACAGTAATTCGGGAAACTTCGGAAGTTGCTAAAACAGCAAGCACAGGTCTAGAAAAATTTCCAAAGAGGGGGTAGTTAGGCAAATATGACGGGAAAGCAGATGAACAGGGGATGGGGGGTATGTCTGGTCTTAGTTAATCGAGGTCATCGGGGTGGGTTTGGAAAGCCCCCCTCCCTCACTCTCGAAGCTCACCATTTTTTGCTCAGTTTGATATATATAGATATTAAATAACTATTGTGGCTTCTTCGTTACCCCAGTACAAGGGGAAGTACATTTAGAGGCAAACACTTGCGGTTATTACTGTCTTATGACAGCATCTCGTTATTTCTTTTATATATAAAATTTGTAATGTTTCACGTCCGTTACATCAAACATGAAATAAAAAGCATTGGATAGCATAGAAAATCAACCTTCACTATCACAAGAACACATGCCAACACCAACTTTTAAACAGACTACATATTTATGTTGAGTCTCATTAATGGGTCCGTGTCTGTGTTTACAGCTCTTTACACAACTGCCCCACCACCCTGTGTTGACAACCTCTCAAACTGCCCTAACTATGGAGATTCCGTTTGCAACAACCCTCTGTACCAGGGATGGGCGGAGGATAACTGCCGAAAATTCTGCGGATTCTGTGGCCCTAGCGTCAGTGCTGTGGGATTTTGTGAGTGTCCTTTATATGATGTTCGTATCACGTTCCAATTCAAAAAGACTACTAAAACGCCTCTCAGGGAAAGAAATACTCTGTGTTGAGATTTTTCCCCTTGACAACCGTCTAACACTCAACATTATGTACATGGTACTCTGACAGTGCCATGTGTTTTATAAAGATTATTTTTATCTCATATCAATATCTGTTAAAGAGGTTTCGTTGCATGTTTGTTAAATCATAAACATAATACTTATCTGACAGATGGACAATGTAACTACAAGGGAAAGTCTTACAATCCTGGCGAGAAATGGACAGATGGATGTGACTATGAATGTATCTGTGAAGATGGCGTCAGTGGCCGATACAAGTGTTACAACAGGTACATACTTAAATTACCTACTGCTATAAATCGCAAACCACGGCCAAAATATACAATCCTCTCCCACGAATTATATATGCGGACCACGGACCGTGGCTTGAGACGATACTCCTACACTAACAGTGCACACAGTTTAACAAAAGGTTTTGGTTTATATAGGCAAATGCCTTGGGATGTATACGAAGTTTATTTAAAGCCCATCCTGTTAGTTTTTCAATAGATCACATACACAGTTTCATCATTGCTCCTACTGAATAGGGGGTGGTTCATTTCAGCTTTATATTGCTACTCCATATGTCATAAACCTTTCTCTACAACATTCATGACCAAAATACCAATGAGTCGCAAAAAAAATTTAAAGCAGATGAACACTTCGAAAACTTTGCTTACAGGTGTCCCCTCTACTATAACATGCCCGCGGAGTGCACTCTTATCCGTGACCCCCAGGAATGTTGCCAGAAGCCTGTCTGCAACTTCAACCAGAACTTACAGACCTTTGAGCAGACCAACCCTGCCCGGACTGCGACTGGAGTCGGTATGCCTCTTTCGCGTTCAAATGGCAAATCGTTTCAAGGGGGAAAAGATAGTTTATCTAACAGATTCTTATTGCAAAATGCATGTTTACCATTTATATACCAGTCTTACACATATATAATGGTTGTCCATATGTTGACGCAATACCTGCAGTAATCAGACTACTCTAGAGTGTCTCAGCAGTCTGTTTTAGGATTAAGGTAAATTCTACTGTTTTTTTTAAGGTGTGTGCGTGTATAAAGGAAAGCAGTATTACGAGAGTCAGTCTTGGACTGATGGGTGCGATTACCAATGTACCTGCACTAATGGAAATACGGGACTCTACAAATGCCAATCTCGGTTCGTAACGGCATTCTTTGTAAATTCGACAAACATTGAATATATCAGAACAAAACTGCCGGAACTGATACAATTACTTGATTTTTTGAACATAAACATCATTAAGATGAAATGTATGCAAAGTTCTCATATAACTCAGCCGGGAATTATACGTGCATATTATCGAAAATAGGTGTAATTAGGCATCGATTACATGTTGAGCCTAGATTACCTGGTGAATTTCTGTATAATTTCCTTCATGTAATCCATGCTTTTATTAAATACATTTACGTATATCCCTCGACAGCTGTACCAAAAAAGAAAGGCCGAAAGTAACTATTATCAATTTATTGTCTCTCTAGTTGTCCACGATATCAGTCCCTTCCACCATACTGTCACATGGTAAAGAAAGCCGGAGAGTGCTGTGCTCAACCAGTGTGTGAATTCAACACTCAGACCGGATCATTCACAGGAACTGGTTCCATCAGCGGTGTTGGAGTTGGTGTGTAGCCACGTGATACATCACGTGATTCTTTTTTATTTCGGCGGGAATTTAACGCGGTCGGCTTGAATGCCAAGTTGAACTATCATCTTCAAGCTGATTAATTAAAGTTTGCTTCCAGTTCTACGGAAAATAGAAATATCACCTCCAGCTGTCTTTCATTCCCTTAAGACATAATTCCGAGTTGTATTTTGTTTGTTTGTTTTGTTTTGTTTTTGTTTGTTTGTTTGTTTTTTGAGAGAGAGAGGGGTCAGAGTCTAGCCGCCGTTTCTTGTCAGATGTGAATGTATAAAAAATTGATATGCATCAGTTTTACATGCTTTAATCTGTTAATGGCGACTCTTTAGGTTAATACTAGAGAGAGATCTAAACTTCTTTGTAAAAGAAGAAAATCCGGAACAAGCGGGTTCATACGAGAAAATTTTAAAGTTATGTACTCCTATGTCATAGGCGCGGGAAATCTGTTACAAGATGAAAACGTAAACATTTATGGTGAAGAGGTTTGTCTTGATGTGTGTGTTGGTCAACATAATCAGTGAATTAATGTTCTTATCGTTTCATCAAGATTTTATCATTTAGATGAGCATTCATAGTCGGAAAGGTTTCATTAATCAGTTAATCAACCAGGTCTGGTACAATCACTAGATTTAGCTACGTAGCTTGAATTACCTACATAGCTTTATTTACCTATCTGAAGTAACTTTATTTAGCTACTAAATCAAACTTATTTTTTAAATTAGCATTTTTCCCAAAAAGTGCAGAAAATTGCACTTTGATGCAGTGATAATTTTCAACTTTGAACTAATCTGAAAACAATTCATGAAAAAAATCACTCTTAATTGGCAGGGACCTATATACTAACTTAGTATATAGGTCCCTGCTCTTGGAGTTGTGTCTTTTTCTGCACAATTTCAATCAAAGTTCTAAAAGTTTTGGGGCTATATACAACAGTTAATAGGGTTAGAAACTCCTTAACACTACAACTTGCAAATAATTGCGAGTACCAAGAAAGTGAACTCGCAATTTTATAAGACTACTCGCAATTTTCATATAAAGTTTAAATTTATATAAATTAAATACATGTAACTTAAGGAAAAAGTAACTACTGTACAATACACAAAATACAAGTACAGTGTGACTTTTAGTTAAATCACTGATTTAAATCAAAAGCATTGTTTTCTGTCACATTATATAATTTTGCTACAGTTTCAATGCAAAAAAAATCAACTCGCAAGTTTTTTTGCGAGTTACCTAATTTTTAACTCGCAATTTGGGAATTTGAACTCGTGTTTTGCAAGTTGTATATTGTGAATTTCGAACCCTGGTTAATTTGTGACCAAACAGTTACTTCTTGAATGAAATAAGAAAGAAAACCAGTTCTGGTTAACATGAGCACAATGAGAAGCAATCATACTTATCCACTCCTTATCGCACCCAAGGTGGAAATACATCTTTTCCTTAAAAGTGTTCAAACTCAGCAATGTTTAAACTATCTCTGCTTTGGATTGCTTTTTAAATAATCCGTAGTATAATTATTAGTAGTCATTCGCGATTTTTTGTCTTTTTTAAAAAAAAAAAAGCAAAATTGCGAAAAGTTGCCTTGAAATAGCTAAATAAAGCTACCTAAGGTGGGTAAATAAAGCTACGGTAGGTAATTTTAGCTACGTAGCTAAATATACTGATTGCACTGGACCTGTCAACTTTTTGCATAAAAGTGATCAGTTTTGTTTGACATAATGCAGGTAAAACGCCCTCTACACCTCCACCATGTGTGAATCAGCTCTCCAACTGTGAAAGATACGGCAAGGACGTATGCACTGGATTCGGTTCTTGGGCCTCTGTCAACTGCAGAAAATATTGCAACTTGTGCGGTAAGATTAAAAGGGGAAACATGTTTGGGAGGCAGAAATATAAGTTGTTTGATGATTTGAAAAAAACAAAACAAATTATAGTTGAAAAATTACATGCATTCAGGGGTCTAGAATTATGCTTTCCCGTTGCCCAGGGTGAGTAAAAATTCGTACGGGAAAGTAAGATCGTGGGTCATGCTCGCCCGCTCGGGAAAGTAAAAATAAAAGACAATAGACACCAGTGATGTTGAAAGTTGTTCTTTTCACGAGTTTTGATTGAAAATTGAGTTAATTTACTTAGCTGGTAAGTTGTGTGAAGTGGTGTGAAGCGTTTCCCGACAAACAAAATGCACAGTATCACTACCGGAAATACTTGTTTGTTGTGTAAATGAAAAACCAAATACGGTTACTCTTTCAATTTCCCGGAATTGACACGAACGTGATTTAAAGCTATAACTACTGAAATTAAGATGATTAATGTTAGAATTTGCGTAATAGATGTATCCACCGAACAATAATTTTGACTTTAAAATATACAACGCAATATAGATTGTTGGGCAAGTGAATTTTTTAGTCGGGCAAGTGAAATTTATTGTATCACTTGCCCTTGGGCAAGTGAATTATAAAAAAAATTCTAGACCCCTGGCATTTTATTCTATTTTTATCTACAGTGTAACTTCATAACTTTAGAATTGTAACAATTTAATGGTTTATGATGGTTTCCCTACAAGTTATTATTTTCCCTCAAATTGTCAGTTAACTAGGTTTTAAATAAATAATTATTTATTTAATACATTTTTTTTTCAGATGTCAAACCAACTCCTGCCCCTGCAGGTGAGCATATTGTATATTCAAGTGTGCTACATAATTCAAAGTTCATGTATTGTAGTGTATAATTTGAAAAAAAAGTGTACATGAACTAGGTAAATTTAAATATCATATGTGAAATATTTGAAAATTTTGAATCAGCTGTCAAGTACCTGAACAAAGTCTTATTTTGGGATGTGACTGATTAAACCCTTGATATTTAGATCGCTGCATGTACCAGGGTCAGGCCTACAGTCAAGGTCAAGGGTGGAAGGTCAGCTGTGACACAGAGTGTATCTGTGAAAATGCTATTTATGGATATTACAGATGTACTAACACGTACGTAAAAGATAGCTCAACATAGCTGTTAAATCTTGACTTATTGTAGGGAATACTGTGGAATCATCTTTGTTCACAAGGGATTACTGTTAGTGGATTTCCTGGGTAACCCTTACCCACAAATTTACATCCCCTCACACAATTATTTTCTCAACCCATTGATTTATTGAACTTACCAAATAAACAAGCTGCCGACGAAATTACCGTACATCCCCACGAACTAATAAAATTTTGCTTGCCATGTACATTGACCTCCACGAATATAAATAATTCCACAGTAACTCAACTTTTATAATATTCTGAACAAATAGTATTTAATGTGGTTGTTAATTATAACTTTGTAAATGATAAGACATTTATTGGAGTCTATATTTCTAATTTAAAAATTAAACCATTGAATTTTTATGCTTACATTTGTGAAACCATCAGGTTGAACAAAAGTTTGGGTAAATGTGAAGCTTTTACTTTTACGTTCTTACAGTGTTGCAAAATTATATTTTTATAGATGCCCTAAATACAACAACTTGCCAAAGGGTTGCTATGAAGTAAAGAAAGCTGGAAAATGTTGTCCAACTGTTGAATGCGAAAATGGAGTTTTACTGACTTCCACCAACAACTTGGGAACCATTGGCAGTGGTGGCCTTATTAATGTGCTCCACCCGCCAGTACCACAAGCTGTCCCTACTCTCCCAACTGGAGGCCAGCCCCTCCCAGGGACAGGAGGAACTGGTTTTATGGCTCCATCACTCAGTATGTAAATAGTCAAAATTGCTAACAATAAATCTTGAAGGTTATGATGAAAATAATTTTATCAAAGCTGAATTATTTGGTTGTGTGTAGAAGAGTTTTTATTAAGTTTTTCTACAAATAATTATTTTTCTTCAAATTTTAGTGGATTTGAAAATAATCATCTCATTCCCTGAATCTTTTCTTTTCCTTGGGGGTGTTTCTTCCAATCTTTTAGATGTTCTGTAACATTACTCATATTACTTATTATAATTTATTATTTTTGTAATCAATTTTTTATGGTAAACTCGAAACAGTGCAAAACTTACTTGCATTCATTACAAATAAGGGCTTTCACTGTATTTTATCTAAAAGTGATTTTTGGTGAGTGGGATGGAGAAAAATATAAGAACAATATCAACTATTAATTCATAGTACATAATTTTATCATTAAATTCATTGTTGTTCCATGCAAACAAGAAAATAAAAATGTTTGAGAATCTGAAAACTAAAATCTAGGGTTTTTTTAATGGCAGATCCTGCGTGTTGATTAATTTTGTAGTGATTTAGCATGAATGATTTCACATTTGTTTGTAGAGGGATGTTTGTACAAGGGAGTTAAGTACATTCAGGACCAGCTGTGGCATGATGAATGTAAATATACTTGTGAATGCCAGGATGCAAGCAAAGGACTGTACAGATGTAATGAAAGGTAGTTGATTACATTGTCTATTAATTGGTATGTTTATTTTCTATGCTTAAAGGGCTATCACATTTTTATTTTGAAACTTGATGATTCCAAGTCAGTTAAATGTATTTTGTTGGAACATTTTACTGTATTGAGCAAAGACATACATGTACTTCTTTTGAATTGGGACTCAAGTGGATAAATGTTATGTGAATCATTGCTGATGTTGGTAGGAAGAGTAGGCACAGTATCCAATTATAAATGTATGTCAAATAAGTTAATTATTTGTTATTGTTCAACAGATGTCCAACCTACATTAACCTGCCTGGAGAATGCACCTTTGTAACTGACCCAAATGATGCCTGCTGTAAGAAACCCAGCTGTCCAGACCCCAACACCCCCATTGTTCCAATCTTTGGTCAGAGTAACATTGGATATGGAGTAGTCCAGCCCCCCAGTGTGATCGACCTGTACCAAAACTACAGTCCCATCCCCTACACAGTCATCTATAACACAGGCCCCACCACACATCCCCCATCTGTCACCAATCATAGAGTAGGTGTGTGACTATTGAAATAATCCTTGCCATGAAACTTGATCCATGATTTAGAAATATATGAAAGACCTGCAATGGTCTTGGTCATGCTAGTGTTTGTTCTCACAAAGGTGTAACTTGATTTACATGTATACAGTAGAATTTGTCTAATCCGGACTCTGGGTATTCCGGAATTTTGTCCATTTCGGCTATCAATTTTAGTCCCATGCACTTCTTTAACAAATGTATTATAAAATTCTGTGTAGTCCGGATACTGTCTATTCTGTATTCCGAATGGTCAAATTGGTCCCAACTACACATAATTAACAGTAATTATTTCGTCTAATCCGGCCACGCAGAGTCACTTCAATGCAATTAACACCTTTCATGTCAGATATGCTAACGTGTTTACATAAGTATCATTAGACGAACTGAAACGTGGCGGTGACGCAATCCACTTGAAGAAATATAAAGTTAAGTAGATTTTAAGAAAATGCTTACATGTTTAACTTGCTTTCAACTCCATATCACACTGTATAACATAAAATCATTGACAATATAGGTACACGATTTATAAATCAAAATATAAATTGGGATCGAAACTCAAACATCTCATTTCAAAATGGCGCCCTAGCATTGAAGGGACTAAGTAAATGTTTAAATAAAAATTATGATGTCAATTCAATAAGTATCAAATCGTAAATAATTGTGTTTACAGTTGTTAAAATAAGTTCCGAATTGCAAACCCGCACTTGATATACACGTGTCTGTAGATTTTGACTCCCTTAACATTTTATGTTGAAAGTCTCAAACTTTGTGAACGAAAAAGAAAAACTGACAGTAAGTCATGCGATTTACTTTTGAATAATTTTAGACTCCATAAATATCAAATGATTTTGTCATTTAATTGTATTTTCCCAACATATGCATTGTACTTGTTAATAAAACAATGGATATAAATTTCAAATATATTCCTGCATTTTTCCTGCACTCCGGATTCTGTCTAATCCGGCCAAATTTTATGGAACCGTTGGTGTCCGGTTTGGACAAAATTATACTGTACAACATTCTTGTAAGTTGTTTTAGCAGAAATGGTTACTCACAATTTGCAAGTACTGGTAAACAAATGAAAAATTAATTTATTTTAATCTTCACTTTGACAATATTTATACATACACTGTACATAAAATTGTAATTTTTTTGGGGGGGGTCAGGATATTGTCTGAGAAATGGAAAGAAACATCTACAGGGAGAGCAATGGAACGAAGGCTGTGATTACATCTGTACTTGTGAGGATGCCACCACTGGAAAATGGAAGTGCACTCAAAGGTAGGAATATTCTCATTATCTATCCTGGATTTTACAGGAAAAAAACCCACACAAAACAATCAACAACAAAATGCTTTTATTAACCATGTTAAATGTGACCTTAACGTGGATAATACTCCCATATTTTGTTAAAAATTCAATCTCATGTTTCTTGAATAGTATCAAAAATTCAATAGCATACTGTAGAAATACTTTTTTGCCATGTGGTATTAATTGATTCTATTTATGCAATCACAAATTTTCTGTGGAAATTTGTCCCAGCGTTCTTGAGTACATTTTTAAAAGGCATATAGTGGCAAACTAAAAGATCCATATACATGTATTTTCTAGCTACGGATTGAACAGAAATGCAATTCCGCAGAATTTTGGGAAAAAGTACATTACTGTATTTCTCATTGTATAATTGTTTTTCTGAAGCTTTAAAATTCTTACAGAATGTAGTAATTTTCATATAAAATACAATGAACTGGTGTATGGATACACAAGTTTGTTGGAATCATGTACAGTTATGTAAGTATATTCCATTCAGATGCCGTGTCTACTCAAACCTGCCCAAGCAATGTTACTTGATCCAGGACCCCAACGATGCCTGCTGCCAGAAGCCCATGTGTGACTTCAACCCTGTTACTGGTACCCACAGTGGATCTTACTCCCCAATAGTTACAGTTACGCAACGTCCCACCACCACCCCACGACCAACAACACCCAAACCACGCAAGTATTTCATATCAAATTGTGTTCTTTGTTTATAGACCCCGTTGTCATTTTTCATTGAATTAAGCTAAAGTTTACATAATGTTAAATTCAATTTTTGTATGAAAATCTGCAATTTTCTGTCAAATCAAGAAATGAAAAATTATATGGGAAACTTTCGTTGTCATCAGTGATTCTTAGTGTAGAAGGAACAAATAACCTAAAATATAATAATTCTTAATTTAATCACTTTAATATGCCTAATAGATTGAAGATTGGGAACATATTGTTTTGGTTTGTCTCTCTTTGTTACTTAATATATTAATTCTTTTTAAATTTATGTCATAACAGATGTTTGTATTTACAACGGGAAGCAGTACAGCCAAGGACAAATGTGGTATGATGGCTGTAACTACAAGTGTACTTGTGATGATGCCTATGGTGGCATCTACAGATGCGTCAACAGGTATGTCAAAAATTATGTCAAGGAGAGTTTATTTCTTTCACACTGAAACTTTTTTGAAAGAATTATGTTCTTAGGAGAATTTTGCTGAAAATAATATGCATTGAGGTAACTTGCAGATTGTACCTTGTTTATATATAGATACTTGTTTCCGAATTAACATCGACTGTTGAGTGATGAAATATGAAAGTACACTTATGTTGTGCATTTTGTAACTTGAAAGAAATGTAGAACCAGTCTGTGAATGAATGGATTTAAAAGAAATCTAGTTCTTGGATAATTTTTATTTAGAAAAATAGATTTTTTAAGTACATACATGTATAATTGACATGTTGTTAAAGAATAACATACTCATCATTATTGAAATACATGTACTTGCATTCCAGATGTCCAGTTTATCAAAATGTCCCTGATGTTTGTACAATGGTTCCTGACCAGAACGACCCCACTTGTTGCCAGATGCCCCAGTGTAACTTCTCACCAGTCACTAACACTGTACCTGGACAGGGCCAGGTTGTCTCCACTCTGGCTCCAGGAACCTACCAGGGAACCGGAACAGGGGTCAACATTGGTAAAATGATGTGTATTTTTCTGTTGGAATTACAAACATTTTCATAATTGTGTTATGTGTATATCAGATTATGCAGTTATGTAATTTTGAGAGCAAGAAAACTGAGACAGTAAACAATGGTTTTGAGTATGAGGAGATTTCAATAGTGTTCAGTTGAGAGTATATAAGTACTGTTTCTGTTTTTTCAGGATTTTGTGCATACAAAGGAAAACAGTACCAGCAGGGACAGACCTGGGACGATGGCTGTGATTACCGCTGTGAATGTAAAGACCAGAACACAGGAAGATATGTCTGCTCAGATATGTTAGTACTTAAACTTCTCAAAAGGCCATGTGTATCTAAAGCTGACATATGATATACATGTACTTGTTTGTGTGTGACCACATATGATTTATATGTTACATTGTAAATTTTTTTGCTACTTATGACGTATTATCTTATTGAGATAAACTTGTGTATTATCAAAAAATTATGGTGTAACATCAATACTGCCAGCATATTACCCACAAAGTTGACATGCATTGATGATTTGTCAGGTGTCCACGCTACAGTAGCTTACCGGCTCAGTGTAAGCTGATTCAGGACTTCAGAAACCCATGCTGCAAGGTGCCAGACTGTGGATTTAGTGGAACTGTTGGAAGCATTACTGGACAGAATACCCTGGCCCCCTCATTGCCAGGACAGCCCACCCCCTCTCCAAACCCCCTCAATCCCAACCCAACACCAGGCATGGGAGTGCCCGTTCTGAGTATGTTGTATGATTTATTTATCACCAATCGAAATATATGTACAGTATTTGTTGCAGAATATTATCAACTGGCCTGATCGGCCTGATCAATGATGAAAAGAAAAATATGTCTCAACTCCACTTTGTGATGCTTCATTAAGATAATTTAATGAAGCATAATGTAATTACATGTATATCCATTGGCATCATGTTATATAAATGAAGTGATTGAGAGCACTAGTTTTCACATTTTATACAGCAGGGATGGGGTAATTGAAATAAGTAATTGTAGTTGAGTGTAATTAATTACATTTTTCAAAGTAATTGGAAGTAATTTGTAATTGATCATTTTTTCAATTACTTGTAATTGAATATAATTAATTACATTGAAAAAAATACCCTGTAATTTCAATTACATTTCAGTTACTTTACATTAGGGATGTGAATTTTATTCGAACAGCTTAGTGGAATAGTCGGAGGCTTTAGTCGAACGATAGTCGAATATTCTTGGAAATTTAAATTAATTCTTCATGTCATTTTCACTATTTATCTTTTATAGACTAGTTGTACAATATTTAACCTACGCTATCACCATTATACAACGAATTTATTTACGTAGTACAATAAATACTGAACATCTACATTTATATATCCAATGCATTTGATTTCAAAATTAATATAATATTTACTGCATATTTTATCTAAATGCAGGATATCAAACGCTTGCATTTGTCCTTTCTTTTCATAACGATAGTACACGTACCCGTTAATTGAAGCCATTTCTACGTGTCGTGTGCGTGACCTTTGACTGGTAAACAATTAAAGTGTGCCTCTTATAAAAACAGAGAGAGCTTGTGATAAATTTTAATTATGAGATTTTGTGCAAGTAATCAATACAATCTTAAGAAAACTGCATGATATTAATATCAGAAAGAAACACCATTTAATTACGCTCATAACTGTCCCCCAATTTACATGTATTTACAATTTTGTAACAGTTGTTTAATTATTCTTTATGAATAGTTGCATTACGTCAGATCTTATGGAATTGCAGGTGGAAAATTTATAATTTGAATCTACAAAACCAAACAATTCTTGAACGTCCTTTCTATTTACAACAATAATTGGTAGACAATCCTTGATAATCATGTTTGTGATCGCATTTTTCTTTCCGACTCTGCTATTTTTGGGCATTTTGCGGAGAACTTGAGAAAAGTTTCACTTGAAGACAGTGTTTACTACATGTATGTTTGACGGATTCAGCATATGATACATCATATTTGATGTTCTGCAGAATACAAGTTCAGTTTCACCTAACCTTGAAAACGTACTTTTAACTGTTTTTCCATCCTGAAATATTTTAAAGTATTCCAAAAACTGTAGATTTTGGAGGCATATTTTCCGAACATAAATCTATATACAAATAATTTTCTTTGAACAGTTAAACCTTGTCCTGAGTTTTACTTACGAGAACATTGATCTGTACATAAATGAAATGGGTGAATCCAATTTTATTACCTTGAATTAAAAAATACTTTCAGGTAACAGATTATTAAGCGAATAACCGACTAAAGAAATTTTAGTCGATAGTCGGTATGATCGAACGATAGTCGAGTACTCGAATATTCGTTGACATCCCTACTTTACATAAATACATATTATGTGTATTTAATAGGAAAATATGTCCAACACAGTCACATTTTACAGTTATTTTAAATTTATTCAAAGAAGCACCTCTCTTTTTCAAAATCTTAAACTTTTTTATAGCTCAATAAATGAATTTGATATATATTGGCTTGTTTATGAAAATATTTGTTAGTTTCATATAATTATAATGCACATAAAGCATTAATACAACTTTATAATGTTTATTAAAAATTTTGTTCTACCTCTCATTGGTATAGGCATGAAAACATTTAAATTTTTTGTTGCTTGATTATGAAAAAAGAATAGAACATGATTTAATGTGTCATTAAGACCTGCCTTGTTGCCCCTTCAACTCCCAACTGTAAATTGCTATCAAAACAACCCTCCAAAGTTATATATATTTTATACCATGCTTTGTTTAAATTCAAAGATATTACCATTAGAGGTGATTTATTAAATACTATTAAGAATGCTCTACTATTTATATACTTCAGAAAAGAAATCAATATTGAATCACTATTTTAACATTTAAACAGATCATAATATACATGTATGCATTTGCTATCTGAAATATTTATTACATAAAACAAGTATTACTTATGTATTTGTCAACATTTGCAATTTAAGGTGTTTAGCTTGCCTACCTGTAGCTGAATAATTTGAGGGAATTTTATGGTTGATTCATAAACTCTTGAAAACTCGCTTTTAATCAAATTTCATAAAGGCAGTCAATTGATAAATGTACATGTAGGACTAGGTTTTATGTTGATGAAGCACACAAACATGACAGGCACCTGACATTATTTATTTTAAATATTCCCCCCTACCTTAAATTTACATGTATTTGTTCTTCAAGATTTTTTAAAGTGAACCAAAAGTAATTGAAATGTATTTAATTACATTCTTCAAAGTAATTGAGAGAATTTAATTACATTAATTTGTAAAAATCAATGTAATTGTAATTGCAAGTAATTGACAAAATTGTCAATGCATTTGAAAGTATTTAATTACATTTCAAAGTAATTGACCCCAACCCTGTTATACAGATATATCATGTACAACTGTTAATTGATATTGGGAGTGTAATAGAGAGACTTTTTGTTGTTTCAGATTACTGTTTATACAAAGGAGTGAAATATTATCAGGGACAGACCTGGGAAGATGGATGTGACAAGAAGTGTCTTTGTGACAGGGCTTCAGAGGGCCTCTACACTTGTAATGATAGGTAAAATACAAAGATTAATTAACTGGGAAAGGGGGGATATCTAATTTAACAAAAGATTAATGTATTGTGGTAAAAGATGTGTTATGGATTGTATGGCATGAACAATATCTGCACAAAGTCATTGACACTAGATGTTATTTTCATTCTTCTATGCATATATGTATAAGTACAGTACTGATGAATTGCCGTCATGTATAGATGTCCAAAGTACACCCAGGCTCTGCCTAAAGAATGCCGAATGGTGACCTCCACGACAGACTCTTGCTGTCAGGAACCCAAATGTGACATCCCATCCCTGTTGACCAACATCACTGGAACCATCTCCCCTGGCATGATCCCCACACTGGCTCCCCCTGGTGTCATCTCAGGAAATGCCAATACCCCTACTCCAATGCCACAAGCCCCTGGACAGACAACCATAGCACCTAAACCTCTCAGTAAGTTTTTGTGTCCAGTTAACTTTTTTTTATTATTTCAAATTGTAAGAAAGAACTTCAAGGTACATGTACTAATACACAAATGAAAACTCTGTGGAGATTTTTGGTTTTCTCTTAGCATTCCCCATGAAATTTTGATAGATTATTTATTATATGGTTGTTTTGTAGACTTCTGTGTATACAAAGGCCTGCAGTATGCCACTGGGGCACGATGGGACGATGGTTGTGATTACACATGTGTTTGTACAGATGGAATGACGGGGCATTATGACTGCACAGAAAAGTAAGAATCTCAGAATTTTACATTTGGAAGTTAGAATGTAAGGTTGAATTGAAAAAACTCATTAAATTTTATTTTAGATCCAAGGTTTACTACATGTATTTTATTTTGCACTTATGGGAAATATTTTTTGGATTTAACTGATATAGAAACTACTGTAAATACAATGCTTTTTATGTACAAATAATAAACAATTTATAATGTCATTTTAATGTAACAGTTAACGTGTATTTATTATGTTATCTTCACAGATGCCCAAGATATGGCCAATTACCCCGTGAATGCTACCTCACCAAAGATCCAGCCAACCCATGTTGCCAGAAACCTGAATGTTCCTTCAACCCTTCAGTCAGTGAATTCACTAATGCTCCAACAACCAAAGCTCCTTTGCCAGGATCCACTAACGCTCCTACTCCTCAGCCCTCAGGTCAACCAAACCCCAACCCATACCCAACTCCAGCTCTTCCCAAAGGTTTGTAATACAGTAATCGGGATTCTATTTGTTTCGTCATGTTTCCAGACTTCTTTGAAATATAAAAATCATTTCAAAAGAATGTATTAAAACTTTCAAAGAATTGTGCAAATTTTTCATGGACACAAGTAAATAATGCAACATGATCTCCACTATTTCAGCCGTGTGTGTCTACAAGGGAAAGAGTTACACCCAGGGTCAGCAGTGGTTTGATGGTTGTGATTACACCTGTACATGTGAAAATGCTATGACTGGTGTGTACAGATGCAGCAGGAGGTAAATAAACCTTACTACAATCTAAGAACTGATACACAGTATTTGTGGCACTGACATGATATATGGCAATTTAACCAGTATAATAGAACATGTAGCTTCAAATTCAGGATTTAAGTTCTCTTTATTTGAATTTAAAGGATTGGAATATTTACAAATGTTTGATGATTCTTTACACAATTGAATAGGTGTGCTAAATAAACATCAGAAAGGTATAACCTGTTTGGGATAATTGATAACTGATTTACTCTCACAGATGTATTGAATATCCCCAAATGACCCAAGGCTGCAGCCTTGTTGCTGATCCCAAGGATCCATTGTGCTGTAAGGTACCCCAGTGCCAGGTCCCACCCAAGTACAGCAACCAGACAGGCTTCATTAACGTTCCCACCCCCCCACCAGGTGTTATAACTGGAGGTTCCGTCACAAAGGTAATGTATATTTAATTTGGCAATTAAAGGAAAAAGTATATAAAGATGGTGCCACAATGAAAATTTGATAACTTTTTCAACTTGGTGGTGTGCTTACTCATTACAATTAGGTAGTGATGTAGGACTTTTTACTGTGTTATTATATGCATCTGTTTTTGAAGAATGCATGTGTGATGAGCTTTACAATGTAGATTGTTAATGAACACAGACTACATGTACATTTGATTATTGTAATTTTTGTAATTTAGGCTCCCACCCCTCAGCCCACTTTGGCTCCTGGCCTTACCCCCTCTCCAGGCTCACCCACTCCTGGTGTGACACCAGCACCCATACGTAAGTACTCCTTTATGGGTTTCTAAAACTTTTTGAACAGTTAAGTGCTTCTAGACAAGAAAAGTGACCACAGTAATAATACCCACTTGTATGTGATTTTCAAATGTTGTTCTGACACTGGATTTAATACAGTGTACTTTTTCTGCATAATTAAATGGATTTTTTTTTTAATTTCTAGCTGTTTGTATCTACAAGGGAAGCCAGTACACACAAGGACAAAGATGGCAAGATGGCTGTGACTTCAACTGTGAATGTACAAATGCTAATACTGGAAACTATAGATGTACTGAAATGTATGTTATAAAAGTTTACTTTTAAATATCTTTTAAAGTTAGAGGTTTAATTTATTAGCAACTTGGTTTAGCATACAATGTTAACATCCATACAAAGAATGGAGTGAGTTGATAAGAAGGGTAAAATGAACAAATATTAAGTAAGAATATTAATTTTGTTTATTGCCCTTTGAAATCAGAATATATCCAAGGTCAAATAAGGTATTTTGTATTCCTTCCTCTTACAATTTGACACATACTAATTTCTCTCGATCACATTTTCAGGTGTTCTAAATACAATGGACTCCCCCCTCAGTGCCAGCTGGTCACTGATGTCAACAAACCCTGTTGTAAGAAGCCTTACTGTAATTTCCAGGGAGTCACCATCCAGGTCACAGGAACCCCAGCTCCAAACATGGGAACCACAATAGCCCCCAACCCCCTCAACCCTACTGGCCCCACACTGTTCCCAACTCCTGCTCCTCCAGGTATGTGGTTTTGTCCATTTCCAGACACAGTTTTTGTCTGTTTTTTGAGAAACATTTTGTTTATGATTGCATTATATAAATAAAATAAGGAATGTGATATGAATATGTCTTTGTTGTTTAAAAACCTTCTTTTTCTCTTTATGGTTTGAAAAGTTAGTCATGGTCATTAAAAGCTGAGTACAACAGATTTGAATTTATATCCTGATTTGCCTGTTTAACAGAGGTTTGTGTATACAATGGAGTACAGTTTAAACAAGGAGCTACATGGCAAGATGGCTGCTCTCTGAACTGTGTCTGTGAAAATGGAAAGACAGGTTTCTACAGATGTAATGAAAGGTAACATCCTCATAGATTTATTAAGTATGAGATTTTAGAACATTACAGATGCTGATAGTAAGAATTTTTCTGTGGGGAAAAAAAACCTGGTATCACTGAAAAAATTTAGAAAGTTACTTTTTTGGTGACAGTGCTACATATCTCTCATTGCTAGCAGTGTAAGATGGGTGAATTCCATGTGGAATAGCAGTGTGGAATTCTTTATCTTACATTTTGTTAGGGGATGTTACATGTATATCACAAATGTTTATCTTTCACTGCTGTGTCTGTGAAGTCAAAGCTACATGTACATGTACAACATTGAGTTCAGAGTTCTTAAAAATTGGTGTTCCATAGAAGGTGAAATAAGTTTTTACTTTCCTAAAACAGTTTTTGCATATTTTTTCTCTTTTATTTAAAATTTCAAGTTTAATCTTGTAGTGTAAACTAAATTATAATACAGTTTCTATGATTTTCAATTCAGTTATTGAGTAAATTTAACACTTTGAAAGTCAGCATTTCGGCTTTACACAAGAAGTGTCATTGCTTTAACACTAACCAAAAAGACTTGAGCAATGAAGAAAAATTGCTCATTATTTATGATGTAGGATAGATAACTTCCACCCTTTGGTATTACATCCCATGTAGTCTCATTCTAGACTATAAAAGTGATCTCTTATGATGAAATATATCTATATTACATTCATCAAATAAATGATTCTTTAAATATACCAGTGGTATGCATATCAAAGTAGCTAATTTGCAGTCATTTAAAGAACCCCACTGTTTTTGACAGGTGTGCCCGATATGACCAAGTTCCTGCTGGATGCACCATGACAACAGACCCCAGTGACAGCTGTTGTAGAATCCCTCTCTGTACCCCACAACCAGTATCCACACCAGCACCACAACCTGGTCAGACACAGAGTCCCAACCCTACACCACCCCAGGTCCCCGTGGTCACAGGATCTGTCATTGGAATAGGTCAGTGAAATTTTAGCATTAGATGAAGCAGTGTATGGTTAGTTTGGAACAAGTTTGTGTCATTTCATTAACACATATAATATCTAGACATCTACATGGACATTCTGAGATTTACTTGCACATTACAAATTTTTGAGGCTTTCTTTCAGACTTAAATCTTATGAAATTTGAAGTTTTGATATACATGTATCTGACAATATGGTTTTGCTTCAGGTGTAACCCCAACACCTAGGCCAGGTCAGACCCCAGTACCCAACCCAGTACCAGTGTGTGTCTACAAAGGTGTGCAATACACACAGGGACAGAAATGGGATGATGGATGTCAGTACAAGTGTGAATGTATAGATGCCAATGCTGGAAAGTACAAGTGCACTAAGAGGTGAATGTACATGTAAAACTGAAAAGTTATGCTAAACTATACACTATATATTAATAATTATCCAATTGCAAATCTTGAATGTGTAAAATTTTCAGAAAATAATCATAATGAAATTAAACAAGTGAAATGAAACTCCTTCAACTTTTAGGTGTGGGGAGTTCCCGAGCCTGCCTGCTCAGTGTTCCCTGATCAATGATCCCAAAGACCAGTGCTGCAGAGTACCCTTCTGTCAGCCTACACCAGTCAGTACTCCTGCACCAAACCCCATGGTCAACCCAAATCCAAACCCTAATCCTAATCCAGGAACCACCATAGCCCCAGGAGTAAATCCCACACTGGCACCCAACCCTAACCCCAACCCAACAGGACCAACACCAGTACCTCAACCTAAAAGTAAGTCAAGTTGAAGATCAGTTTTGGATTCCCATTTAGAGGGAAGTTTGTATTTTATCTTGCGGTACATGTACATATGTCTGTTTTCATTAAAAAATATGAAAATAATAACATAACACAATTAAATATCTGCATATCAAACCTGTAAGTGACTTACTTGTAGACTCAAATTAAAAAAAAAGTTAATGAGGTACATATAATAGAGCTTCTTTTTCTTTGAACACTCTGTGAAAATAAATACTAAAATTGAGAGCTTGAGTATCTGTGAATTTGCAGACATCTGTGTGATGAATGGTCGCACCTACACCCAGGGACAGCAATGGTACGATGGCTGTGACAGGATCTGTAGATGTGAGGATGGAAGCACTGGATTCTACAGATGTCAAGACAGGTCTGAAAGTTCCCTTAACTTCATTAAATCTCACTATTTAAAACACTAGAGAATTAACTTTCAGATTGATGGGGATTTATAAATGTACATGTATTGTTACATCATTAATTAGGAAACCAGATATTATATGTAGATCCATGAAAATCTATGCAATGTTAAGTAATATTAAGTTACATGTAAAACAAACCATTAAAAGAGACATTTACAACATGTAACTCTTGAAAAGTATGTAGTGTAGATTATTGGTTTTTTTCTTTTGTTTGTTTATTTTTGTTAACATTTTAGAACTAAATAACTCCCTAAGTACATGCATTTACATTATTCTATGCATTTTTGGAAAAAATTGCTACAATGTAAAGTGCACTTGCTAAACATTATATTTTGAATTTCAGATGTCGCAAATATGACTCTGTTCCACAAAACTGTATCCTTGTGGCAGATCCTAAGGATCCTCAATGCTGTAAGGTTCCCTCTTGTATCCCAGGACCAAATGGTTTCCCCACCCCCACCCCAGGACCTGATGGATCTACTGTTGCCCCACAACTCATCACCGATGTCCCAGTAGGTGTGGTCACAGGATACGCCAAACCAACACCCACAGCCACACCGGCTCCAGTTCCAGTGGGAGGAACAACTGCCAAGCCCATGCCAACACCTGCTCTACCAGGTTGGTTTTCTTTCAAAAAGGTTACATCCCTCTTTGATATCAGAGGATATGCTTACAAAATACTTTGCAGTAATGTGGAAATATTTCCAAGAAGAAACTTATTGTTATGTAGGATATATTTGGTTATCTTGTAGATGTTTGTGTATACAAGGGAGTTCAGTATGCTCAGGGACAGAGATGGCAAGATGGATGCTTGTATAACTGTGTCTGTGAGAATGGAATGACCGGCAAATACAAGTGTACTGAGAGGTTTGTAATTTTACAGTAACTTAGAAACTTGGAAATTTTAATAAAGTATATAAATTTTCATAAAAAATTTCTTTGGTTAAAATGAATTTAATATATTCAAAGAAAAAAAGGCTTAAAAATCTTAGTGATCATAATATCATCCTTACTGTATGACAGATGTGCAGCCTACCCAGCCCTGCCTCCCTACTGTAAACTGGTACAGGATCCTAAAGACTACTGCTGTCAACAGCCTCTGTGTAACTACCAGACACAAGCCCCATCTGTTCCTCCATCACTGACCCCCAGCCCTGCCCCAGGACTCCCCACAGTTGCTCCAAATCCTAACTCCACACCAGCACCCAATCCTCTGGGTAAGCAGACAAGTTACAGGGCTTATATATTTATAGTTTTACTTATGGATTGATCTGTTAGGTTGCATGTTTACTTTTACTAATAGATTGATCTGTTAGGTTTGGTGCAGTAGAACTTAATAGTTAGCAAATGTTTCCTTCATCAATACAGAACATCAAGAATTGCATGGCAGTATTTATGTGCATGTACAGTCTGTCATTTTATTTTATGAATGTTGATGCACATACATGTATGATGCTTTGCAAATTTTTCACTGAATTGTAAACAGTTATTTTCATAATTATACAACTGTACATATACCACAGAAATGGAGATATTTCAAGCTGCAGTATTTCAAAAAGCTTCATTAATCCACATCTCTGTGTTAGTAAGAGATTTCAACTGATGATCACGTTATTTAAATGTTTTCATTTCAGCTGTATGTGTGTACAAGGGAGTTACCTACCAGCAGGGAGACACCTGGAATGAGGGCTGTGTGAAAAGATGTCGCTGTGATGATGCCAGCAAGAATATCTACACTTGCTTTGACAGGTAAATTTATTACCTCCCCCTTGTTTATTCATGCTATTCCTGCTTTTTTGTTTTATTTTTATCTATATTATTTTCTTCAAATGATATCTGATCACGCAAATACTACATGAATTCAGAAAGTTTTGAAGTGTTTGAAATATAAATTACATTCTTCAAATTGTAGATGTTGCTGGCACCATAAAGGTGTTGATTTTTAAGCCAACCAGTACTATTTTTTATTCAGTTCATTTCTTTCTGTGTAAAATGAATTATTTACAGACTTACAAAAGAATCTAATTTGTTTGCTTTCTTTTAGGTGTCCATCCTACAAACTGAACCCAGGCTGTGTAATGACCACAGACCCCAATGACCCCTGCTGTCAAGTACCCTCATGTACAGTGGTACCAACACCACTACCTGTTGTTACACCATCTCCAATGCCAGGATTGAACACTGTTGTGCCAGGAACTGTCCCTACCCCTGTTCCATCAGCCTACCCATCCCCAATCCCCACAGGGCAAGTGGGTACCATTGTAGGAAAACCTCAGAATCCTCCTCTCAGAGGTCAGTAGAATGTTACTGCACTGTAAAAGTAAAGATTTGAGATCACCTGTCAGGGTCCATTAGACTGATTTTAATAAAACTTACCACAAAGCATCCTTGCGTAATGAGGATTTAACCTTGATCTAACACATCTGTAAGAGATAATTAAGAGTTTGTGAAAATATGGTTGGGTCATTTAAAACTTTTCAGAACCACTAAGCAAATAATGACAAGACTTGCCTGTAGGTGGAAGCCTTTTTAAATCTATTGAAGATTTGGATTTGTTTAATTAGTGCCCAGGAATGGCCACCTTAAGGGCACTAAAATTAGTATAGATATTTTACATGTATAAAGAGAAAATCTCTTTTTAAAAAATGATAAATATTTAGATAGAATTTTTAAAAAAGAAAAAAAAAACAGAAGGCTAGAAAAGGACCCCCAGGATTTACACAAATGAAATATATGACATTATTAAAATCTTGTCAAATCTAAAGGGCTACAAATTATTAAGTAATAAGTGCATCCACAAGTTATGTTCCAAGCAGGTATGGGGCTACAGAAGGGATCCAAAAACATATAAATTTCTCTTTATGATTATATTCATATGCTGTAAGGTAGACCTCTGTGGTGACACATATTTTACAGCATTGTGTGACTACAAGGGAATGAAGTATGCAACTGGACAAAAATGGCAAGATGGTTGTCAGTATGACTGTGAATGTATTGATGGAACAACTGGACAGTACAGATGTACTGAGAAGTATGTGTCCTATAGTATAGATTAGATCATTTCTTTCATATTTCTTTCTACTGTATACTAGAAATTATTCACTGATTTTTTAATGTACATGTATCTGAATATGTTTTTAAAGGTGTCCAAGATATGCCCAGATCCCAAGTTACTGCTACTTGGCACAGGATCCTAAAGAGCCTTGCTGTAAAGTCCCAGTTTGTAATGTTGTTGCCCCCACACCACAACCAGGGGTAACCCCCACCCCAGGAGCAATTAAGACTCCCCTTCCAGGATCCACTTTCCCACCAACACTGATGCCCCCTGTGACTCCAGGACCCTTACCCACACCACCACAACCAAAGAGTGAGTTTTTTTTTTAATCTTTTTATCATAGGAAAACAATTAACATCGTAAAGTGTTGATTTTTCATGTATTTTGAGGAATGTTTTTTAGTTTGGTGTCCTTATTTATAGACAACATCCTTGAATATTAGTTTGTTAAAAGTAATAAGCGTAAAAAGTATCTGTATAGAAAAATATTACAAACATATATATATATTTGAACATTGTAGATGTGTGCATCATGAATGGCAAATCCTACACACAAGGACAACAGTGGGATGATGGATGTAAACAGATTTGTGTTTGTGATGATGGAACAACCGGACACTACACTTGCAGATCAAGGTAGTGCTATAGCACATAACTTTTCCAGTTATACATGTATATGTATGTATTATTTAATCCTACAATTATTATCAGTGATGTAAAAATTGGAACTATTCTGAATTTCAAATTTTGTTTCAGATGTGCTCAGTATCCTAACATTGCACCAACTTGCATCATGGTTCCAGATCCCAATGATCCCAAATGTTGCCAGATTCCACAGTGTGACCAGACCAACCCCAACCAGCCATCTGGAGTCACGGGCAGCATAACTGGCACCAATCCCCCAACACCACTACCAAATGTCACTCCAACTCCCAACCCTAATCCCAATCCCAATCCCAATGTCAATCCTACACCAAATCCTTATCCAAATCCAACACCCTACCCAGGAGGCACCTACCCACCCTATCTGATTCCATCAGTCAGACCCAATGTGACACCAGTCCCAGGAACACAGACCACACAGGCACCTGTCGTGACTCCTCAGCCTAGTAAGTGTAGAGACCTTTCATAGCCTTGACCCAAGTCAGTCGGGTGATCTATTGCTATGGGTTCCTATCTTCCATTGTTTGGAGACTTTATACATTTGCAGCTTCTTCTCAGTAATAGACCAACAAATTTTAACTAATTTAAGTATGTATTATCTGTTAATCCTGGGGAACAAAAATTATGGTTTGAAGATTGGGGATAGAGAGAGAGAGAGAGACCTCAGCCAAATTTGTATGATTATAGTCATTAAATTATCACTATCAAAAATGTATCATTCCACTTGGGTTGGTCATATATTGAAAGTTTGTGTTGGGATTAACTGGATTATGCATTAGATTTAAAATGCCCCATATGTTTAAGAATCTGCACTCCTGAGGATCTAGGAGACAAGCTTCATGCAGTGTGATGATGAACACAACATCTTCACAAAATAAATATACTGTGAAATCATCATTGTTTGGAGGTGACCAGTGTTTGTGGATTTTGTGGGTCACCATTCCCCATCAATTTACATCCCCATGATCTAAAACTTTGTCATATTGTTTAAATAAATTTTTCAACTATACTAGTAACCCACGAAATAATGTCCTATGATACCAGTAAATTTTGTTTGCCCACAAACATCAACCCCCACAAATTAAAATGATTCCCCAGTATCTCACTTGAGTCCAAAATTCAAGTCCCAGATTGGGATGAGTTGGTCTTAGGATAAGAGATTTATGATACTTAGGTGACTATAAAAGGCCATGAGCCTCTTGTTCTACTAAAAATTTATTTTGGAGGATAACATGATTTTTTTTTATTGTCAGAGGTATGCATATACAAGGGCAAGGCCTACACTCAGGGACAGAAATGGAGAGATGGATGTGACTACAACTGTGAATGTCTGGATGGAATGACTGGCAAATATGTGTGCACAGAAATGTAAGTTTGTTTTACAACCTGTTATTTTTTTTTCAGCACATTTTTTTTTATAACATCTGTTGTTTTGATACCTAGATGCAAGTATCAACTTGAAAAAAAAAAATGTTAAATTCACTGAATGTTGATGTTGAATACAGATTACAAATGAATTTAAATTCCTATCCTACAGCTGTCCCCGGTACCCCAATCTGCCTGTGGGATGTGTCATGGTCAATGACCCAGCCAATCCATGCTGTAAGAAGCCAGACTGCAGTAACCCAACTCCTGTGCCAGTTCTGACCCCAAGTCCGAAACCAGGATTCAGCCCCACACCAGCCCCCATGAACACACCCACACCAAGTATGTTGTATTTAATAAGACTGTAAACATGGATAGACACTGGACTTAAGTGAACTACATGTATTTGGTTTGATTGTCATAAAGTGTTAAGTATTCTTCATGGGAAATGAATACTACTGTTATGTTGTTAGATATATGTATGTATGTATGTATGTATGTATATATATATATATATATATATATATATATATATATATATATATATATATATATATATATATATATATATATATATATATATATTACATATTACATCATATGCCGCAAGCAGGTTTTTCCTTCTTTTCCATATGTGCAAGTAGTTTATTTGATATAATACTAATTTGAAAGGCTTTAAAAGGAGACAGTAAGATATAGGAGAATGTGTATTCCATAGGCATTATCAATATCAATTTGAAATTAGTTGCAGTGTTAAAGTTTGCTGTGTTTTTGTCTAATTAAAGAAACTGTGAATAGTTTTTCTGCTAAAATTGTATTAAAATTCCCATGCTAAGTTGTGAAAGGAAATCTAAGTGGCCTTATGCTTATCTGAAGTAATCCACGATACATTTCCCTTATTCTTTTTTTCCTTTATATTCTGACATACTTCAGTATAATAGTAGCAATATTGGTGATGTACTTGATGTAGAAAGCCCATATAGCATGTGAGAGACTGATCTTGCTTGATTTGAATCATCTTTTTCTATAGGTTTCTGTGTCTACAATGGAATCCCCTACCAGGAAGGCAAGACATTTGAGGATGGCTGTGACAAGATCTGTACCTGTGAGAATGGCATGTCTGGTCATGTGACATGTAAAGACAGGTGTGTTATGTTTTCTTATTTTTGGAGTACATACTTATATCTAAATCATTATATGTAAAACCATTACCAAACTTACAGGTTAGGTCAAATTATGTGTCTGTAGTCAAATATCATGAAACTAACAAAACTTTGTTAATGTTAAAAAAAAACAACAAATACCTCTTGTACACTTAAAAGCAATATTTATCTCTTGTGATTTTTTTTTATCACCCATATGATTTATGAGGTATAAAGTTATATTAAAATGTTTATTAGATACAATATATCTCAATATGCTGTTTTTATAGATGCCCAACATTCCCGCCACTGAAGGCTGGCTGTAAGATGGTGACAGACCCCAATGACAAGTGTTGTCAGACACCAAGCTGTGTTGACCCCACTACCCTAGTCCCATACAGCCCAGGTGGTACCATCAATGGTGGGAATGTTCCCCCTCAACCTGGCTCCCCTGTTACTGGTGGCAGAAGTAAGAAGGGGCTTTTGTTGAACCAAAACTGTGTATCAATAAATAAGAAATTAACAAATCTGATAAAGTAATTTGATGATCATGAATTCTGATAACTTTAGCATTCCAAAAGTATATAAACTAACTATTATTTGTAACAACTTTAATTCATGATTAGTCAGTTTGAAGTCCATTTGCCACATTTATTTTTGTGACTGAAGAAATATTTTACACGTTAATAAATACGTGTAAATGGAATTCATGAATGAATGAAGGTTGCAAAACTCATGGATATTTCTCTCGGGTTTACAGTAATTCTTGATGGAGTAGTTTTGAGTCTGTTTTTTTTTTTTTTTTGTAAAGCATCATTATTTGTTGATTTGTAGATGTGTGTGTATACAATGGAAAGGTTTATACCCAAGGACAACAGTGGGATGATGGATGTACCTACCACTGCGTGTGTCTGGACTCCAGCACCGGTCACTACCAGTGTACAGAGAAGTAAGTTCTGCTTTTATGATGTATAATTATAGTATGATATCAGAACTGATTTTAAAGAGGATCCATACTTAATAATTGAATATGACTTGGCCATTTCAACATGGGCATGAAGTAATACAATTTATTGTATTTTCTGATAGGCTTTTTAATGTAAAATCAATCTTCATAGATTTTACCTTTTGTTAGTACCAAAATATAGGCAGTGTTTTGTACACAAGAACACACATGCAGGTCTTTCAAAATTTGCCAGTACTCGGTACTTTTACCTGGCTGAAATCATGATTGTACCAGCCAAAATATTTGTTAGAGAAAAAATTGATAACATTATTAATTAAAATCACTTTTAGAAGGTACCTCCTAATTATGTTTAAGTACCACCTGTTTCTAATCTTTTTGAAAGCCCTGTATATGTACATGTAGATTCAATATTAAAGACAGTTTTATGTCTTAACAGATGCAACAGAGTTCCACAGTTACCATCTTACTGCACAATGGTGAATGATCCCAATAACCAATGTTGTCAGATGCCCTACTGCCAGAACCCCAACCCAACACCTAACCCCACTCCTTCACCAAATGGTTCCCCCACACTTGTAAGTGGTACACTGCCACAGCAAAAAAATAAATGTTCAGTCTTCATCCTCCACATTTGATGGGAATCATTTGGACTTCTGAAAATAAATTTTGAGGAGAATTCTGAAAATGCTAAATTTAAATTTATTACAAATATTTTTTTTATTTTTCAAAGGTGTATTTAAATAAGATGTGGAATATTGCATCATTGTATGAATGCCTGTTTTAGAGCTGAATTTTTTTTCATTAATAGGTACCAAGCCCAGGACCAAACCAGAACCCTACACCAGCTCCCAAGCCTAAAGGTTTATATATTGTTACTTCTTAGTGAGCATTGTTACATAAAAAGAACTCAGTATTAGTGATTATGAAAGTAAAATGTTTTTTCAAGTGCCATTGATTTTATTAAGAAAAAAATGAAATGTAACAGTTTTAAATAAGTTTGTGTTTTGATGTTGCAGATGTGTGTGTATTTAAGAACAGCCAGTACTACAAACAGGACCAGCAGTGGTATGATGGATGTAATGCTGTGTGTCGATGTGAGAATGCAGCCACAGGCTATTACAGATGCCAGGAAAGGTAAGTTTTAGGTGTTTTGTCTGGAATCTAGTCCTCTTTATGTTGATAGTAGTCTACTGTGATCCAAGAAAATCACAGTGTTTGTGTGAAGATTTTTGTAGGGTAGTGAGAGTTAAGAAAACTTTTCGGTTCACTTCAGGATTTTGAATGTCACTTTAATTTTCTTTAATTAAAAAAAATTGTTTGGTTTATAATTTCTGTAATACTATATAATTAATGCTTTTCACAAGCAAAACTGCACCAATTTTATGAATTAAGACCAGTATAAAGTAAATTTTCAAATAAATTTGAGTTAATTTGTGGCAGGTTAAGTTAATTGTTTGTTCATTGTTTCAGATGTGCAAGATACACCAGTGTACCATCTGAGTGTACTCTGGTTCCTGACCCCAAAGACCCTTCATGTTGTCAAGTACCTAAATGCCCAGTAAAGCCCACAGCTGGCCCAGTGCCCACACCAGGATTTGTACCCACACCTATCACTGTTAAGCCAGGAGTACTGACTGGTCTTGCTCCTGTGCCCACAAATCAACCCACCCCTGCCCCAGCCCCTGGTCAGACACCTGGACCAACTCTTGCTCCACCTCTGCCCAAATCTGGTATGTTGATTCCCAACATTTGTTTTTGCACAATTATGGCATTTCATAAATTATGAATTTGTCCTGATGAGGAATATACATATAGCATATTATATTTAATTATAACAGGATGTTACTACAAGGGTGTGGTTTACAACAAGGGAGTGACCTGGTCTGATGGCTGTCAGTATGACTGTGTATGCTTGGATGATATGACAGGACAGTACAAGTGTACTGAAAAGTAAGCTTTTCTTTCAAATGCTGTTTTCAAACCTATCCCAAGCTCTGAAAATATTCAGAATACATCTACATTTCATGTAATTCATTTCTCTTTGTATGAATTGAATTGATATGGGTCACGTTGTGTTTAAATTAAATGCTTAATTTCTTAGGTGCACCAAATATCCCAACCTGGATAGTCACTGTGTTTTGATTCAGGACCCACAAAACCCATGCTGCCAGAAGCCTTACTGTGACTTTGTCAACCCTACACCATTCCCTAATGGCATCCCCACTCCACAGCCTATCATGACCCCATCACCAATGCCAGGTAATCCCTCAGTGGCCCCCAACACTGTACCAACACCGGCCCCAAATCCCACTAGAGCCCCACCACCAGGATACTGTGTGTACAAGGGTGTCTTCTACACTCAGGGCCAGACCTGGAACGATGGCTGTGACAAGACTTGCCAGTGTGATGATGTGACAACTGGATACATCTCCTGTCATCCAAGGTTTCTTTTTTTGTTTTGTTTTGTTTTTTTTTCCATGAAAGTTGGCCCCTGAGAATTATTCCACTGTGTCAGTTGGTTTATTTCTCACAGATAATTTCTGATCAAAATAGCATTCCTATGCCTGAATGTTATATACATGTATATAATGCATGGTGCTTTAATAGTACTGTGAAAGAGGTCATTTTTGTTCTCACACATACATGTACATGTATTTAAGAGTAGGCATCAGGTACATGTAGCTTTTGTAAGGAAAGAATTGACTGACTAGATATCCCACATTTCCTTCATTATCTGTAGATGTCGTACCTACCCAAGTGTTCCAGCTGGTTGTGTCCTAAGGACAGATCCTAAAGACAGTTGCTGTGTGGCCCCAGACTGCAACAAGCCCAATGCTTTGAACCCAACACCTCAACCTACTCCCACACCAGGACCTGGCGGCATAACACTGAACCCTCAGGTGAACCCCAGCACTAATGGAGTCATGATCTACCCCTCACCGGTCCCCACTGGAAGCTTTATAGGAACTGGTATCAACCCAGGAACCAGTGGTTCAGGCTTCCCAGGATCTATCATAACTGGAACTTCAAGTAAGTTTGTTTACTCTTTTATTCTCTGATTGTTTAGTGTACCAGGGTTCTCCACAAGGGGTTTTACCATGGCGGCCCGCCATGGTTAAATTTATGTGCGCCATGGTTAAACGAGCTACGCCATGGTTAAAATCGGCAGCCGCCATGATTAAATTTTTATTTAATTTCAGTATTGATAACTACTTTTTAATGACGAGTAAGCCTAGTTAATTGTGTTTATATTACGACTACCATGCACCTCGCGCGCCTCGAGGGGAAGCGTCCAACTGGGCTAAACAAATACGGTCGTTGATCGGCGATTATGCTGTGAAGCGTGACAATGGAGAGTCAATCAGCTGATGATCAATATCTTGAGAGTTAATTATCCTATACACATGTAATTTTGGGGAATTTCAACGTGTTCGCTATACGATAAAAGATGACATAACGAGTAGTAACAACATGATAATCGACACGCATCCGATTCAGGTTTCTGTGCCCAGAAAAAATTAACCCTGTCAAAATTTCCTATTCTTTATATTTAATCAATTCCTCATGCTTTGTTTTTAAGTCTTTCTGATAAAATGTACGTTAAAGCCAATCGTCGTCTTAGTTTTAGAGTTACCTCCCGTTTTAGGAAATGTCGCGTGGTGCTATTTTTAGCACTGGGACACGTGGAGAAGTAAACAATGGAGGAAACTCGGCGAAAAATGCAATATGTAAAAAAAAAAAAAAAAAAGGAACGTTTAAAAAAAAAGAAAAGAATAGAAAAAGCAAAATTACAGTAATGTCAAATATATGCCCCTGGTTATATTAATTTACTTTTACCATGCATGCCATCAGTAAGTTTTCATGCAGTTAAAAAGCTTAGACATAGACAGGATGTCGGTGTTCATTCGTCTGTTTGTTTGTGTGTCTGTAACTATTTTTTTTTTCAAAATACTTCCCATTTATCAGTTTTAGTCATATTTAAATAAAACATTTCACACAACAGGCAACATAAATAAAACATTTCATACAACAGGCAACATCAATTGTGTATATCAGTTTTTGAATAATGTTGCCATGGTTACTCTATCACTAATTTTTTTTTTTAAATTCCTTCAAAATGTTCCTATAGTTTTGGGCCAATTTTGATACACATTTGTAAAGTAAGATACATAATCTTTTTTATTATTATTTTTTTAGCTTTAAAAATTATTGGTTATATTATATATCAACTTTTTGTGTTGCAGTGGTTATAAGTTTTGTGAAACCAATCATTGATTAATGAAGGTTAGGAAGTCTAACACACATTCATGTTTTCGGTCACATTTCGCCTTCGCGCAGCTTCCTCCATGGTTAAATTTTTAAATGTGGAGAACCCTGGTGTACATATATTCTGGGTGAAAGAGAGAGAAAGATTTGATAAGAGTGTCATAGAAGGATGTAACATAAATAAAACTGTGAGCTAGTGTTAGATGTACATGTATATACAAGTCCTTGAAAAGCAAATATGGATGCCAGCATTTCCGAAGAATATCAAGATCACAGGATTCTAAAAAATTTTTGCTGTTTATTGAATTTTTTAACTTTATTTTTTTTAACCATTAACTTTTTTTTGCAGGGGCCTGTATTTACAAGGGTGTGGCCTACAACCAAGGAGATAAATGGGAGGATAACTGCCAATACAAGTGTGAGTGTATCGATGCCAACCGAGGACAATACAAATGTACAGACAGGTACATGAATCTGTTATATCCATCTCTGTGTTCTTAAAGGAACCAACCTGTATGCAGATTAATCTTTATAACATAACCTTCATTGATTGTGAGATTTGAACATTGACCTGAAAATCAAATAATTGCAGCGTTTGAGGATTTTACATTTATTTTGCTGCATTTTAAGTTATAAACTCTTGGGGAAGGGGGTGGGTTAGAAGAAAAGGTGATAGCAAAAGTAGTAATTACAGCCATTATAGCCTTTCATTTAATGAATATTTTTTCTGGACAGATGCTACACATACCCACCACTTCCACCACAGTGCAGCTATGAGCGTGATCCCAATGATGCCTGCTGTCAGAGAGCCAAATGTTCACCTTACATACCAACCTACAATCCAACAGTTGGTCCAAACACAGCACCTGTTGTCACACCCACACTTGCATCTAATACACCTGTTGTTATCAACCCTGGCACTACCAAACCTTTTGGTGGCTCACAGCCCACTGGACCAGTTATCATCAATCCCAACACCAACACACCTTCTACAGGATCCAAAACCACTCCCAACCCCATTGTTATTAATCCTGGCAGTAATACTCCAAGTAGTGGCTCTAACACAACACCAAAACCTTCAAGTAAGGGAAAAAAACAGAATTTATTTTATTTTTATCACTTTAAATACGATAAAACTCTCTAAAAAAATAAGTTCTGATGTAAAACATCCTGAATACTTTTACATGTAATTACGTGTTACAAAATAACTGAAAAAGTACATGTGTAAAGCAGGTTGATACCTAACTTTGCAGGAGGAGCTTGTAACTCTCATTACCAGGACACTATACATATTGATTTTTTTGTTGCTGTTGGTATAATGCGTATAGCTTGATATACAATGTTTTGTAGACATGTGCTTGTACAAGGGAGGCCTTCATCCACAAGGATCTAACTGGCAGGATGGCTGTGATTACACATGTTATTGTGTGGATGCTATGTCCAACAGCTACAGATGTCAGGCCAGGTCTGTCATAGACAAACAAACAAACAGGCTAATAACAAAAATAAATATAGCATTGGAAGTTTACAGAGTCCTTATGACTGTGACAGAATTTATGGTTAAAGGCTGAAACTAAACATTTTTAAAATGTTTATTGGTACAAATAGGGGATAATTAGGCACTTTGAACATGTTACACAGATGTATTAAGTGCATCTTCAAACATACTTGTGCACATGCAGTTCTTTTTACAAAAAAAAAAAATTACTCATGATTAAGTACATATACAAGTGTAGCTCCAGTAATGAATATTTCTGAATTTCTGATGCCAAGTGCTTGCGAAGCTTGACCTAATGCATTAGAGTGTATCTTATTGTTTTATCATGCAAATTATTTCATTTACAGGTGTAAGACTTACTCCTCCATCCCATCCTACTGCCACCTGATCCCAGATCCCGCAGACCAATGTTGTGAGAAGGTGGAATGCACTGCTCCCAATGGTCAGGTCCTGACCCCACAGATCCCAAGTGGACCCACAGTTTCCCCAACTCTGGCCCCCAGCATTCAGCATGTGATCCCTGTAGGAACCCATCAAATCTTCACAGGATCAGGACAGCCTAATTTCCCTATTGGTGGAGCCCCTGGAACCTCTGGAAGTAGAAGTAATCAATCTATTAATAATAATCCTGAGGATGCACAATTTAAAAAGTTTTTTATTTATTTCAATTGAAATTTTAGAAAATGGCCATGAACAAAGAAGGGGATTTAATGCTTTAAATTCTAAGTTGTTAATGAATGGATCCAAAAAAAATTTCTAGTTTCACCCATTTTTTTTCTTAAAAGGTGGCTGTGTGTACAAGAGCACAGTTTACCACCAAGGACAGTCCTGGGATGATGGTTGTAAATATGTCTGCAGCTGTGAAGATGAAGCCACAGGTCTTTACAAATGTACATCTAAGTAAGTTCTTTTTGCTCAGTCTGTTGTTATGTACATATGAAATGAAATCCAAAAGGTACTAATCAGAAAAATTGCATTTTAGTCTAGAAAGGGTAAAACTGCTGTCATTTAAGAAATTTTATAAAAAATAATTGTTTGTAACAACATCTGAAAATTTGTAATAATGCTTTATTCAAAGAACATGAAGGAAAAAAAGTTAGTCTATTCATAAAAAGATGTTCAAAATTTAGAGATGTTAAAGTTGGAGTTACCAGTAAATCTTTGATTTTTTAGCTAGTCTTTTCATAAAAAGATGTTCAATTTTATTTAGAGATGTTAAAGTTGGAGTTACCAGTAAATTTTGGATTCTATAATTGGATATAACACCCATTTTTCCAACAGGTGCCCCACTTACCCACCCCTGCCAAGCTATTGTAGTTTTGTTAATGTACCTGGACAATGCTGCCCCACTCTGAGCTGTAACAGTCCTGACTTTGGCAAATACAACCCTGCTCCCCAGCTGTACCCCACACCAGCTCCCTCTATTCAACCCTCACTGGTACCCCATGTCATCAACCCAGGATACAACCCAGGAACCAGTGGCAGCAGCCATGTAGTACCTGGCACAGTGGCAACAGGATTCACTGGAAATAGAAACGGTATGGAATGATGCTGCATAGCAAGTTGTATGCTTTGATGTACACAACTAATATATTCTGTGCATAGATCTGCATATATTTCTTATATAACATACCCATAAAGAGTACGCTATCTAAATTTTTGAAACAAAATAAATGATTTTTTTTTTCAGGTTTGTGTATCTACAAAAATAAACTGTACAATCAGGGTGACAAATGGGATGATGGATGTGAATATTCTTGTGAATGTAAAGATGGAAACAGTGGATACTACGAGTGTACACCTAAGTGAGTTTTGCTAAAACTATGTTTTATGTTGAAATTGAGGAAGGAAAGAAATGTATAACAATGAAACCAAGAGGTATCTCAGTTTAAGATTTCAAATACCTTGAAATTCTTAATTGATGAATCTTAAAGCTGAGGTCAAGACTGATGAACAGATTAGCAAATCCAGACTGGAAATGCAAGTGATTACTTCTCAATTGTGAAGCTAATAAGTAAATTATATTTACGATCAGATGCCCGAACTACAACCTACCAGCAAACTGTTATCTCATGCGAGCTGGAGGAGACTGCTGCCCACAGCCCATGTGTAGAAATACAGATGGCAGCACTGTCAACCCTCTGACCTCTCCTGGTTCACAGTACCCGGTGTATGGAACTTACCCCGGAGGCTTCACAGGATTCAGACCTGGATATGTTCAACCTTCCCCCTCAGGCACATCATTCACAAACCACTCCAGTAAGTTTATTGATGTTTGGCCACAAGAATTACAATGTCTGCACATCTGTCTATGAAAATTGTTTTATAGAAATGGGGGAGGGGGTATTTGGCAGATAATATGGAAGTTAGAAAGAGTGAGTAAAACAAATCTTAGTAACTATAACAATGTTGTGTTGGATTTCAATTGTTGCATTTTGTGGCTGTTAAAATTAAGAATTTGTGCTGTCAGCAAAACAGTTGTGTATACTGTGTGTAAATTTAAGAATGTGTCCATTAACATTACCAGAATTAAGAATAATTCTGAAAGTATGCATTAATGCAGGATTTTACCTCTAATGCAGAAATTTAAAAGGAATTGAGTAAAGAGAGAAAATGAGATCTTTTAATTATATATCAAACTTTATCTCAAGATAACATTGGAAGTGGTTTTCATTTGGATTAGAATGACTGGACTGTAATTTTGTTGGTTCCTAGATGTGTGTATCTACAAGGGATCAGTGTACAGACAAGGTAACACATGGGAGGATGGATGTGACTTCACCTGCACCTGTGTGGACGAGTCCAGAGGAATATACCAGTGCACTGCCAGGTAACCATTCTCAAATTTCATACCAGGTAATAAGCTCTGAACAAGATTTTTCAGTGAAATTGAAGATAACCCATATGTCTTGTCTATATCGGAGAAGTTATTTAAGTAGTTGTTTTCTTTTTTAAGAAATTACTTGGCTAGCATATCATATTTTGGTGAACTTATTAATAAGCTGTTTATATTTTGAGAATCAAATAGAGGTACAAATATTAATTCGTATAATCTTAAATGAATTTGTTAAAATGCATGCAGTCATTTTTGACAAAACTTATCATGTGATGCATACAGTGTTTTATAACTCAAATGCACTGGGAGACCTTTTCACTCTATTTATAAACTTTTCACTCTATATTATAAAGTATAATCATTCCATTATCTGACTGATTGTTTCTTTTCACAGATGTAAGACCTACACTTCTCTCCCATCAGTCTGCAGAATGTATGATGTTCCTGGTGAGTGTTGTGCTGAAGTCAGATGTAAAACCACAGACACTTCCCCTACCCCTCCAGTCATTGGTTTCTCCACCCCCAGACCATACCTGGACCCACTCTGTCATGACACCATCGACAACTGCAAAAACTATCAAAAGGATGTAGCCTGTCATGGAGCCTATGAAACCTGGGCTAGATCTCACTGTAACATGACTTGTGGATTCTGCAGTAAGTAGTGTTGTCTGTATAAATATTGGAAACATGAACAGATCAAGTTTTTAATTGCTGGTTTGTTTGCTAACTAAAAGTTGATTTTATTTTCTTGGGGCTTACTCTCTGAAAAAATTAAATTACACAGAAATGAATTCATTTCTTTTAATATCTTTTCCCTATTGTGGATCAGAGTTCTGGTCAACACAAGAATCTGTGTAATAGACTGAGCAAAATTGTTTTGGATGCAACTTTGCAGGCTCATTAGTTGATGCATCCTTAATAGTAAGAAAAATTGGGTGTTTCAAAAATGGTAGATTTTATATAGTTGTCAGGATTTGTTTGAAATCAGAAACTTATTAAATCAGAAATATCTTAGTAGTCATCTGGAATGTAAATACAATATTTCATGATAAATTGTCTTTTGTGATGCATGCCAAACTCCGATAGTTGTAAACACAAGGTAGCAGTTTTTCATTTTATTTAGAAACTATAATTACTGCCTGTATCCATGTGGCATGACTATCTCATGAATTTCACCCACTGTAGACAAATTTTATTGCATGAAATAAGTCTACTAAATTGAAGCTTTTTTTTAATTTCATTGTCATTTGGGGCTCAAATGGGATGCATCAAATTTAGCTGGGACTCGACCTTTGCAAAAACCTTAAGACCAGGAATTCAGTTCACAAAATCATAGTGAAAACCCTGCTAAACCCTGTAAAAAAGATATTTTGTTTTTAAAAGATCCTCTTCTGTTACTAGTATATAAATGATTTAAAGGATATTGTGTACTCAAATTTCATTTTATATTTTTTTAGAAAAGTATAGACAATGTTAAATACAAACTAAGTTGAAGTTGTCTAGATAACTAGTCGAAAAAAAACCAAGAAACATTTTGTAAAAAGTATGAAGTAATTTTTAAACTGTATACTTGATGGACTTTTCAGCCCCATCAGTTGTAGTGCCAACAGTCTGCACTGACAGAATTGACAACTGTGCACAATATGGTAAATCAGTCTGCCAGGGAACTTATCAACCATGGGCCACAGACAACTGTGCCAAATACTGTGGACTTTGTCAGAGTGAGTCAAATCAGAGAGACAACATTTCCAATATGATATTTCATTTTAAAAAAAAAAAGAGCCTCTTTTTTTACCATAGATATCCTAAACATTCACCAAGCATGTTCAAATATAAACTAAAGATATTCAGTGCTTCAATAGTTCTTGCATTTAAGCTACCTTTGAAAGCATGAAAAAACAGGTTTATATGATAACTCTTCTTGTGTGTATCACAGGGATATTTTATACTGATTGTTCAACTATGTCAGGTTATATCACAAGGTTAGAATACAACTATTTTTTATTTTAGCTTCTGGAGGATCCCCAGTAACTGTGTCCCCCACACCAAACACAGGTTGTCAGGATAAGATCAACAACTGCCAGGCTTTTGGAAAGAGTGCATGTACCGGACAGTTTGAACCCTGGGCTCGTGACAACTGTCGTCTCTACTGTGGTTTCTGCAGTAAGTAGGAAACAGTTGCAATTGGATATCTGGTTCATCTAAATCTCTAGCAGTAACTGAAAATTTTTCATTTGTAAAATTCATATGTTTTATTGAAATCATATTCTTTGACTGGAGATTTCATTTGGTTGTTTAAATTTGAGGATTTTTCATGAGCACTCAGTAGATGATATTTTTCAAAATCAGAAGCATTTGTTTGAGTACTTACTGAAATTCAGCATCATCTAATTCTACATGTTATTATTATATTAGTCCATGTGTTGCCCCATTTATGGTTTGAATCAGATTTTATTTATGAATGATATACTGATTACTTAACAATTTATAATAGGTTCCACAGGATCAGTGATCAACTACCAGGTTCTCCCTCCTACAGGTATGTACCGATAATTAGGGCCCCGCTCTGCGGGCGCCCTATAGTGATCAGTCTGTCCGTCCGTCCGTCTGTCCGTCCGAGATCTCTTGTCCGGAGCATATCTTCTCTCTCCTTGGCCCAATCTGGCTCATACTTCACCCACAGAGTGTCTTTGGGTAAAGGGTGTGCAGTGACCTTGAACCATGTTTCTAGGTCTAAGGTCAAGGTCATAACAGAATTATATGAAAAATCCTTGTCCGGAGCATATCTTCTCTCCTCTTGGTCCAATGTGACTCATACTTCACTCACAGAGTGCCACTGGTCAATGGATGTGCAGTGACCTTGAACGAAGTTTCTAGGTCAAGGGTCAAGGTCAAAAATAGCCTCTCTGTTTAAATTCTTGTCCGGAGCATATCTTTTCTCTCTCCTTGGCCCAATCTGGCTCATACTTCACCCACAGAGTGTCTTTGGGTAAAGGGCATGCAGTGACCTTGAACCATGTTTCTAGGTCTAAGGTCAACGTCATAGAAGAATTATATATATGAAAAATCCTTGTCCGGAGCATATCTTCTCTCCTCTTGGTCCAGTGTGACTCATACTTCACTCACAGAGTGCCACTGGTCAATGGATGTGCAGTGACCTTGAACGAAGTTTCTAGGTCAAGGTCAAAAATAGCCTCTCTGTTTAAAATCTTTGTTCGGTGCATGGTTTCTTTCTCTTATTAGTCTAGTCAGCCTCAAACTTTACCAATTGACGTAGGGGACAGAACATTTGTGAATTTCCTTCCATATTTTGATACATATGCAACAGTTTTCATAGAGGATATGCAATATTTGTAATTTGTGATTTTCATGCCATTTTTTATTATAACAAGGTTGACATAGAAGCCCTTTAGACTCAAACAACACATCCCTTAATAGTACACAAGTGTTCCTCTTCAAAATAAACCCTTTTCAGCTCCTTTACTTTTTCATGTTCCTTGCTGAAAGCGGGGCCCTTTGAGATGGCCACCATCTCAATGATATCTAGTTGTTACAATCAACTAACAAAAATCAGCTCTGTCTTTGGCTCCAGTTCTTACATTAAGGCTGCCATCACAGCGTATGCTATGTTTCAAGGGCATATTGTTGAAATTGTAATCAGATTGTAAAGAAACAGCTGATTTTAGTCAGATTTATATATTGGAGTTGAGATTTGATATGACTTGTTTTTCATATATCAATTATGCGATTTATTATGTACAACTAGATTTGTATGTGTACTTATGAAATTAAACAAAAATGTTTTTAAATGAAAATCAAAACTCTCTACTTCTTCATGTACATGTCAGGATAAATTCTTTTAGTCATAATTTGTTCACATGTAAAAACCTTATATTTTTATTGAAATAATTTGAATTTTAAAATAAAATTGATTTAACTTTGTATGGTCTTTTCACAGGTTACACAACGCTGATGAAGGGTGTGGCTGGAGTCCCAGGAGACATGTACCAGATTTGGACAAGCCCAGCTACAATGAACGTCAACAACCCTCAGGCCATGTATCTGACAAATCAATTCAAAGGTCATTACAAAACAGACCTCTCTCGTTGGAACGACATGTGTTTGGACAGGGTAATTATTACTATTGCCCATTTTTATTAAGATTTTAAGATGTTGATGGTTGAAAATAATGAAATTTGTTTTCACTCACTTTAAAAAATCATGAAACTTGGTATTGAATTGCAGATCAGGGTATCGATCTACAAGAATGGACAAGAAAAAGCCTACATTGAATTCAACGCTATTGGTGCCAACCAAAACAACTGGTTTGATCCCAGCAGAATCATCTCCTCTAGCTATACAGACATTAGAACAGCTGCCAAGGAAGTCTTCAGTATGATGGGGTCAGTTTACACAGAAAATTCATCTCATGCTAAATTTCCTTATCACATTTCACAGATGTAAACTGCTCAAGTGAGTAGTAATATCTAAACTAACAAGACATCTGCAGTCTAAATCATACTTTGAATATTTCAAGGACTTTTTAAGAGAAGAAAAAAAAAAGCATACATGTAATATAAAGATTTGGGCATATATTTTGATAAATGGGGAAATATAATATTTGTTGTTCATCAGTAGTTTTTGATGATTTAACAGTGACACATCCACTGGTCGCGAGTTCCTTATGAGCCAGCATTCTAACTCTCAATGTGACACTTACGGATGGATCATGATATCCACTCAGAATAACTGTCCATTTGAGGCCAGCTCTGGTGGCAAGCCTGCCTTCTTGTATGCACCAGGCCAAACTTCTGCCCACTTTGAACAAAGTAAGAACGCGCAGTATGCTGTCCACTTACGACATCTCGAGTTTTGTTGAGTTATAGCTAGTCATTCATCACCAATTGCAGCACTGCATATTATTTTATACACTTGAACTTCGATATCTCAAATACCAATTTCTCTAATACCACAGATATGTAGAAGTGAGTTGGAAGTCCCAACTTCTCTTTTTTTAACCTTGATATCTTGAATCCTCTAATATCTTGGAAGTTTTTTCTTGGTTCCATTAAGTTCCAGATAATGAGGTTTGACTGTATATTATTTTTTAATAACTGTTACTGGCAGTGCAGTAATGCATCACTTGTGGTTGTAGAACTGGAATGATTGCCAGATGCCTGCTTATAGTGATATCATCTTGAAAATCTACATTTCAAGCAATACTGCAGTGACATAAGATATTTTACTAATGTCTGAAAATTTAACTTTTCAGCTCAAGTTGGAACTGGAGATGTTCTAGCCATTATGGGACATCAGGGAACTTGTAAGTAGATTTGATTTTGGCAACAGATATAAAATTAGGTTAAAGGATATTGCCAATCTGAATTGATGAATTTTCTCAACATCTATGAAATGTGGATTATTTTTTATTTATTTCAGGCATTGCTACTGTGATGCCCACTCAAATAATCACAAGCAGTAAGTAAACAACATTTTTTTTTTAAATATTCATTCAGTATATTCAAATTCACTCAAAAAGGGCCCTAGCATTATGAGCTATCAAAAAGAAATACATGTATGTGTGAGCTATGCTATCTGGAATTAAATTTGAAAGTAATTGTAAGGACTTGCATGTATTATTTTTTTCTGTTGTTGTAGGTTATGCCTGTGTATACAACAACAAGGTCTACAACCAAGGAGACAGCTGGACGGATGGCTGCAAGTACAACTGTACCTGTACCGATGCTAGAAATGGAAACTACCAGTGTGTGGAGCTGTAAGTGTCTTAGAAAGGGGCATATTCTGCTTAGAAAACATTAGTGCCAGACCAGTGCTGTAAATCCATTTATTCACCATTGCTTTCCTTGCAAACAAAAATAAGGATGACATGGCATTGAAGTACTGTATGTAACAATGTATTTATCCTCATCAGCAAATATTTACCTTCCGCCTCACCTTCATCCCTCTTCCTAAATATATTACAAATGAGCAATAACTATTTACAGTAATTAAAACACACTTATAACAAAGTGCCAGGGACAGACACTTTTGCTTTGTTATAAGCATAATCCGTTAAGTGTTCAGTATATTTTGAAGTCAAGGGGAATGGAAATCACTTCGCTATAAGCATCTATTTATTATAAGAGTGTTTTACTGTACATTGTGAAAATATTTTTCAGATTTACCTATTTATGTCTTGCATACAGCATTCACCCTTAAGATACCTATACATAACAGGAAAATGTGTGAAAGACCATATCAAGGCTTTTTTGAAAAATCCATGCAAGTTATAATCCCTGGCAATTGATAACAATTGTTGTTAGGAATATAAATTCCATGTAATTCCAATGATTCTGTTAGAGAATTTTTATGGAAAATTAGTATGTCACATACGTGTATATACAATGTCATGTCTGAAAAATTTGAATAAAGAGCAAGGGCCACTTTGGGCCTTTTTTTGGTCCTGTGAATTCTGGAAAATTAAAACTGCATTGTTTTTTTTTGACAAGACAATAAATATCACTTGAACCCTTGGTGACCGAATATCTACTAAAAATGACGTAATTTTCTTGCTAGTTAATGCATTATGACGTCATGAATTGCATCATTATTCACGTATTCTGAATATTTCTTCAGAAATGGCCAAAAGATGATGCTATTTTTTCAATATTTTGTGTACAGCACAACCTCTGATCCAAAATGTGCAAATATATAATGAAAGAACTGCTTATGAAGATTATAAAAAATATTTTAATTTTTGGATCGAGGGGTGTGCTCATATCTTAATTCTTTGCTGAAGGTTCTCAAATACACCTGTTTTCTGCAAAATTCGAGAACATTGCAATTTCACACAACCCATTTATCAATACCTGGGCTATTTACAGGAAAGTTTGTTATACAAAATGAAAGCACAAAGTCTCTACTTTATATTGATGTTGAAAATGGGACATAGGGTTTTAGTCAATAAATTGGTATATCTACAGGGCCATTTTATGCATAAAGTGAACCTAGCTCTTTCTTTGACTCTCCTGTTAATTAATATTTTGTAAATTTCAGGTGCCCAACCTACTCTCAACTTCCACAAGGTTGTTCCCTTGTCAAACGACCAGGATCCTGTTGTGCCGTACCAGATTGTGGCAACCATGTCTACAACCCCAGCAGCAGTAACGCAGCTGAGAGAGGTACTGGCAGAGATTAAGGGGGGCAGGGATATAATGAGGACAGGGGGGTAAATAGGTGCCATGGTAGATAAGAAACAGGAGACAGATATACATGTAATTGGAAGGCAGATAAATATTAGGGTAGAGATAACTATGGGATAAGGATAAAGAGAGTTTTTACTAAATTACTCATATTTAGTACAAGAATAAAGTTTGCTGAAATTTTTGTGTAGACTGAAGTATCACAATTTACAACTGAACTACATATACACTCAAAGGTTAAACATTTTTGCCTGTGTTTGGGGACAGGTGAAAATTTAGGCTACTTAGGGGGTGGAAAGGAAATTCCAATAATTTCTTCATATTCAACGAAATTGTGATTCAGAAGTTTTATCTATGCTAAAATTCATGTATGATGTGTTTTGGAGTCACTAGCTCATGTGATGAGGTGGCATTGAATAATCCTTATCTTTTTCCAAAAAAAAAAAGAGATTTGAATTAGGATCACACATTTAAATTTGTACATACATGTATCTGATTAGCAGTATGTGTACTCAGGTATATTCTAGAGAGGTAACCATGTGCATTTCTATGACATCAACATGGTGAAGTCCAAGATTAACATGGGACATTTTCTATGCCTGTCTAGGTCTGTGTTACTACAAGGGAGATGTGTACTCCCAGGGAGAAAACTGGAATGATGGATGTCAGTACAAATGCACCTGTCTTGATGCCACCACAGGAAGATACCAATGTAACCCGAAGTAAGTTCACTCTTTAATAAAAGCTGTATATTAGAATTAGAGAGATATGGAATACTTTGCATATTCATATCCACCAATGGACGTGGTTTTACTTTGATATGAGAATACTTTTGTTTAAGGTATTACTGGTATATCCCTAGATTTTAAGTTTTACTGTGTGCTTGTCAGCTAATCATTTTCATTTTCCAGATGCTTGAGCTGGCCAAGTCTGCCTGCAGGCTGCGTATTGCAGGCCCCAGCACCAGGACTATGCTGTCAACAACCCAAGTGTCCATCTAATGTACAAATCAACTTTCCCCCCGGATACCAAATAGAATAAACAGATTCTCTCACTATAGGAACATTATTTATTTGTGCAATGTTTAACAAAGACTATACAATTGGTGCATACACTCTACAATTTGTTATATAATAAAATTATATTTTGTTATGACTGTTTCTTTTATTTCACAAGTTGTGTGGCATGTTGAGGTTGACAGCAATGTGCCATAGGCAATTTTAGTCAACTGAATCACTTTTGATCTTCTTGTAAACAACTGAACTAATTTTAACCAATTTTGGTATATACATGTAGCATCTAAAGGTAAAGGAAAACATAATTTATGGATTTCATCTGGGGCATGAGGGATGGGGCTTAAACCATCAAATTAATGTAATCTTTGAAAATTTTATTCTATCTTGAACAAGCAGTCAAAACTGTTGGTATTGTAATAAGAAGTGATATCGATACCAAATTTGTAAAATTCATGGCCTTAGGGTCAGGGGTTCTGGTGGTAAAGCAGGACTCTATTGAACATATGGGGAAAAAAATTAATACTTTGAAAATCTTCTCAGCTCCTGGGAATTAAGCAGGCAAACTAAGTAGTATATAATTGTAATGAGCAAGGGTATTTTACCAGATGAATGAAAATCATGACCACTGTGCTGTCGTGTTAGGGCTTTAAATTGAGAATCATTTAAAGAAAGATTGATAATGACTTGAAGGTGTGTCATGACCTTCATGTGGGTCATTTGGGCAAGGTCATTGGCAGAAAAAATATAAAAGAATGAGAGTACATTTGATTTGGATCAGCAGGAATCATAAAGCACTTTAAGTGAAAATTTCATTAATCCATCATATTTCAGCATTCATTTCTATATAGGTATCTTGGATTCTGATGATAAAGAATGGGAAAATTTTTCAGATATTGTGTTTTGATTTGCTTAAATATGTTATGAAATATGGCCAGATGAGTCATTTGGTACAAATGTTACAATTTTAAACACATTTTTCTGTAAATTTAATGCTATTTCTGGGTCATCTCTCCACCAGTTTTAAAATGTTTTTGTGTGCATTTTAACAAAATGAGAAAAACATTTGTATAAAAAAAATGGAGAGAACCAGAGACCATGAAAAATGAACTTTACCAAAAAATATCACATTGTGTAAATGCACTGCTTAAGTACTTTGATTATTTTTGTTTTTAAACCCATTTACAGAATGTAGCCACTATAGCACAGTGCTTTGGGAGAAATCAATTTTCAAAACAAACAAATCATTTGTCAGAATGATTTTATTTACTGATTTACCAAAATTTAAAAGTTAAATTTAGATTGTGTTGCACTGAGAGTGAAAGCATGTTTTCCTCACCCACTGAAATTTCATTGAACTATACCCTATTTTTCAAATAAATCAAAATGATATGAGCAGACTTAAAATGACATTTAATGAAGAGGTATTTCACTGTGATGTAACATTTTTCTACTTGCTTTACTTTTGTCAAGGCTGTCCAGCTGTTGTCAGCCAACCAAATCATCTGCTGACGACATTTAAATTATGAAGTCAATGATCTATATATATGTACCAATTCCTGCAGATTACATGCCAAATATGCCATCTTTGTGTCTAATATTCAACTTCCAAATAAGAAACATGGAAGTTCATATTTCATACAAAGATTGCATATGACCTGAGGTGTCATGACCTTGACCTAAGGTCAGTTGATGAAAGTTCATGGTCACCAGGAAAAATGTTTTATTCCTGCCCAGACCATATCTTAATATCAAAGACTCATACTTATCACAAATATTGATTTTTACCTGAGTGTATATATTGACCTTGATACAAGGTTATTCCAGCAAGTACCAAGGTCACTGGCGGAAGAATAAAATTTGTGTTGTTCATAACTTTCTAGCTAATGGATAAGTATTAGAAGTTGAAACTTTTAAACAAAGATTATACATTAGCTGAAGGTATGTCATAACCTTGACCAGAGGTCATTGCCGGCAGTTCAACATCACCGACAGAAAGTGTAAAATTCTTGTCAGGTCATTTTGGCAATTTTAAGAACACATTTTCAAAATTGTTTATGGACACTTCAAAAAATAATTGCCACAGTGGGTATAATTTGGTGAGCTCACTTGCAGTACCTCTAGTTAGCACTGACAAGTAAAGATCTACTTTCAGAGGTTTGCTCTTGGATATTTTATAGTTTACCTTCTTTGGACTCTGCCCTGAGGTTCAGTCTCAAACCCTCCCCCAAAACAGTTTTCTCAGTGGAATAAACTATTTGATTGATTCTTGATTGACATATATGTCTTGCTTGGTCTAAACAGGAGCTGCAGAGTGGTTTTAAAATCTTGTGTTTAAGTTCATGATCCCCCTTTCAATATTCATTTAAGGGTGTTGAAATTTGCACAAGTACTGTACATGTACATGTAGTACACATCTTCACTGTTGCATTTTTTTATTAATAAAATACTGTGAAATCACTAATTTTTATGGAGGGTTAGTTTTCATGGTTTTTGATGTATGAAAAGACCCACTAACTCATGTCCCCCATGAAATTTAGAATTTCCAATGTGACAACTCATCACTTCAACCACCATCCCACAAACCATAATCTTTTCTCAAAACTATGAAGATTTGACCGCACAAAAATAAATGATTCTCCAGTATTCCTTTTTTGTAACTGTCCTTTGAGTAAGAGAAAGTTGCTTATTTAATATTTTATTTCATTCATTGCATATCAATGTACAGGTATGTAACAGGTGCATTGGTAGCTACATTGTATTTGGGTGGACCCTGCTCCAAAAGCTTAACTTGTTCAGTCATGTGTAGGTCAGTTGCAGCATCTAAAATCTTGCTGCACTCTACAATCTAAACATAACTATCCTGTACCAAGATTATTTTTACACCCCAGGGCATATAGTGTTTGTCATGTCCATCTTCTGTCCTTCTGTCATAATTTGCATTTAGCTCAGTTTCTAAGAAACCAATAAGATATTTTTATCAAACTTCATATCCTGATACATATTGATGAGAGCTACTGCATCAACATTGTTTTGACCTTGAACTTTCCTTTGACCTTGACCTCACTTTTCTTACATTAGTGTTTAGTTCAGTTTCAAAAAAAAACTTTTAAAGATATTGTTATCAAACCTTATATGCTGATACATATTGATTAGAACTCTATTCAACTGCATCAACATTTTTTGACTCTGACCTTTCTTTTGACCTTGAATTCACCTTTCTTCAATTTGTGTTTAGCTAAGTTTCATAGATATTCAAGATTTTTTAGTCAAACTTTATATGCTGATGCATATTAATTAGAGCTGTTTAACTGCATCAACATTTTTTGACCTTGACCTTTCCTTTGACCTAGACCTCCCTTTTCTTAAAATAGTTTATCTCAGTTTCAAAGACACTAATCAAATCTAATATGCTTATTCATATTGGTAAGAGCTATTCAACTGTATCAACCTTTTTTACCTATCAAAGAAACTATTCAAGATATTTTTATCAATCTTTACATGCTTATTATACATATTGATGAGAGCTACTCACTGGTGTCAACATCTTTTACCTTGAACTCTCATTTGACCATGACTTCAAATTGGTGTTAAACTTAATTTCAAAGAAACTATTCAAAAATATTATCAAACTTTATATGCTTATACATAATGATGTGAGTTTTTCATTTGCATTAACATTTTTACCTTTGACCTTTCCTTCGATCTTGACCTCACTTTCTAAGATTTGTGCATACCTCTGTTTCAAAGAAACTATTCAAGATATTTTTATGTAAGCTTATGCACTGGTACATAATTTGGTGAGAATTTGCCAACTATGTCCATTCTTTTTTACCTTGACCTTCCCAGTGACATTTGACTTTATTATTTATTGTGTATAATTGTGTTTTAAAGAAACTTCTCATTTTCATCAAACTTCATACGCTAATACAAATTTTCATGTTGCATTATTAATGAACCCTGGGTAGAGCATTCATATCCTATGGACATATTTCTAGTTTAAAACATGGATTAGCTTGCAACAAAAAACAACAGCAATTTGTGACCATTTTGGAGATCCAATAACTAGACTACATAAGAAAGCATCCCATTTTGGACCCTGGGATAAGTAAAAAAAAAGAGACCTAAATGTATTTTTAACAAATGATCAAAGCATTTTACTTACATTTATTGCTCTTCATTCTTAACAATTAGTACAATAATAATAACCAGTCTTTGACTGATAATACAATTAACAAAACCAACAGGGATTAATAGTCCTGTGCTGCCATGATGTTTCTCCCAACCGATGGATATTGGTTTATCACATCGAAGCAATCCATTGACCTATAAGCTGTCTCTTGAACATTATAAAGATAGTCTTGAACACCAGATCATGTTTTAGGCTTAGCAGGCTCCATACAGTTTCCATCAGGATATTTCTCTTTGAACCTGCTTACAATGTCTGGATCCTTTAATCTTACGCCCTCTAACTGGTTGCCTAGGGTAATCCTGAAATACCCATAATAAATAGTGAGAATAGATTATATACAGTGTACATATGTTCAAGGATTGGGGTTTGTGTATTATTCAAATTTATTTACATGCAACCATTTTTTTCACTGTCATTCACTTTGTCGATCTCGATAAGGTTATCCAAAATAAATTCTACATTTAACGTCATCCGTATATTTGTATATTTGAACTGAGTTTATTCAATCTATCATTTAAAGTGACAGCTTACAAAGAAATAATAAATTAACAAAAAGCCTGAACATGATTATAAATACTGACAGTATTTTAATTCATGTAGATCAGTAAATACTCAACTGTTTTAAAATTTTGTTTGTTTAATTTTTTTCCTCCCTCCCTCGTAGGTTTTGAAGTCTATAGGTGATGTTAGACATAAAATTAACTTCAGCCAGCCTAATGAAATAATAAGGGTAGCCTTGAACAGAAAATTGTTAATAATGATGATAACTCACCAATTTGGCTGGACATTATGAGGACGACCAAATAACTCCACTTTCCTTGTGCCTGGAGACAATCTCTCTATAATTCCATAGACTTCATCTGGTTTATGACTAGTGGCCCTCACCTGTTCATAATATACAGTTTAAATAACATGCACGTTTGACAATCTTCCAATTGACTGGTTCC